ATCGTCATAAAGTATGCGGATGATAGATTATCATCAGCATCATCATCAATCTGTATGGTTGTCATGTATAATCGTTACCATCGTTAATTATCATAATTGTCATCCCTTTATGTGTTGTAAGTAGCATATTTAATTACGATAGTGGCAACCAGTACTCTCACCATTCTCATCGTAATTATTAAAATACATTTTACAATGTATATTTGTTTAACAGCAAACGCTGTTGGTGTTTTATTGTTTGCATGCACGACAAAATGCGTGCGGGCAAGGTTATTTTTCCTTTAAAAAAAAATGAAGTTATGATTTTAAAGTTCTAACAAACGCCACCCATGTCTGGGAAGTAATTTACTGTGCTATTAAAGGATTCATCAAAACTACAAGACCACAAGCAATGATGAAACTTGCACAATGAATTTACTTTTTAATTAACAATGATAGTACAGTGACACTTGCAATTTCCAGATTAAAGTCCACTATATTTTCCACAAGGCTGAGAACCATGAAAGAAAGAAATAAAGCGATTTTAATTTAGATTTAAAGCTTTCGTGACTGCAGGGATTCATATTCTTGGTTCTTTCGGTAAAGTCACGTAGAAGGGAAACAATAAAATAATAAAAAAATATAAAAAGAATATAAAAAAATATTAAAAAAAAATTCTCACGACGTTTCGACTGCAACACACGCAATCATCATCAGGTGTGAAAACCACAGCAAGAAAATGGTATTATTTTGTTGTTTCCCTTCTACGTGACTTTACCGAAAGAACCAAGAATATAATAACGACTTGTCATTAAAACCAACAATTTGCAGGTCTAGCATTCTTCTGCATTGCCAACAAAGTAGTTACTGAATTTTTCTCAGTAGATATGTATTATGGGGTTTTCTTTACATTAAAATTCGTTTAATTTCTGAGATGGATTTTCTTTTTTAAATTATTGATACGTGGGAGTAAATGGTGGCACGTGCTCGTTATATGAACAATTCAATTATTTACAACGTTTAATCAACCTCATGCATGTGGATCTATGCTGTGCGTGTTCCCCCCCCCATCCAATCAGAAGCAGCCTCGGCCGTGCAGGGCCAAGCTTGGCTCAGCCCCGCACCAATTTCCTCTTTCTCATCCCACACTTCACAGCCGTGCGGCTCTTCAGATCACCCCTCCCCTCCTACCCACCCCTCCCCTCCTACCCACCCCTCCCCTCCTACCCACCCCTCCCCTCCTACCCACCCCTCCCCTCCTACCCACCACTCCCCTCCTACCCACCCCTCCCCTCTTACCCACCCCTCCCCTCCTACCCACCCCTCCCCTCCTACCTACCCCTCCCCTCCTACCCACCCCTTCCTCCCCTCCTCCTATCCCCCCCTACCCTCCCCTTCCTCCTACCCACCCCCCCTCCACTCCTACCCACCCCTTCTATCCCCCTCCTACCTACCCCCCTTCTCCCCCCCCTCCTACCCCCCTTCTCCCCCCCCTCCTACCCACCCCTCCCCCTTCCTCCTACCCACCCATCCCCCTCCCTCCTACCAACCTCTCCCCTCCCTCCTACCCACCCCTCCCCCTTCCTCCTACCCACCTCTCCCCCTTCCTCCTACCCACCTCTCCCCCTTCCTCCTACCCACCCCACCTGTTTGCCCCCCCCCCCCCCCGCCTATCCGTCTCTGTTCCCTCTGGCTGTAGGAAAGCGATTGTAGTTGTGTAAACAGGCTATTTGGTTGATACTCGCATTGGCAGTGATGCACAGCTACAAATAATGTGTACTCAATACGTGCAGAAATAGCACTGCGTGAATTAGGAAACATATGCTATGGGTGACATTTCAGGTGATGGCCTTTCTTCAGAGCACGTTTTGAGTACACATTCAAGGCAGTGTTATTGAATATTTTTTTTGTTGGATTTAAATACATATATGTTTATTACTAACACGGTTTAAGGTATGCCTTGGTTAACGTATATTATCCCAAGATAAAAGTTGTTATTTTGTAACATGAGCACGAGGTTTTGCAACATTGCCCTGAAATTGACCTGATTGCAGGACGCGTTGACCCTGTGACCTTACGACTATTTCCAATGGCGGCTCATGTAGGGTCACCACCTTGTCCACTGCATATTCCTCATTCAGCACGAGGTCTATCATCAGAATTGTGCAGGGAGACTGATAAAGTTCAACACAAATACCAGCGCCATGTTGCGGCACAAAGCATTACCTGCTCCCTAAACACTGATGCCAATTCCCAGACTGCACGATGTCAAACCCGGGCAAGAGGTGGCAGCCCTGAACTCGGCTGTACGATCCTGAGAGCGTGCAAGCGGGCTTAGACTGCTGCGGGAATTCGGGTCGGCCCCACTCGGCCTGTTTCACAAACCGAGCCGGCTCACTTCGAAGTGACCGTGGAAAAGCCGCATTGAAGAACGCAAATCAAGTAATTAAACAACTTTGAAAGTACGAGGGGCGATTGGAGATTTTCTTGAGTTTTGCCTGACGTTAAAGGAGTGGCACTGCGAGGTTGAATTCTCAGGGTCATATTTTGCAGGTGTCTGGATTCGTTTTGTTGAAAATTAGGAGACGAAAAAACAGCCCAACTTACCAACCCATCAGCCAACTAACCAACCAACCAATCAACAAGCTGAGCGGCCAGCAAACAAATGCAGTGGCTAATGTGCGGCTCGAACACTGTCCGCAACGGATTGCATATGAAGTGGGACATTGAGGGCTGGAGCTGGTGGCCGTGCACCCTGGGTATGACGACTTTGCAGTTGATGCAACCGAAGTGGCTGGTGGCTCTGCCTGTAGGACGTGGAGAGTGGCATCGAGAATGGGGAAAGAGAGTGCTTGGCATGAAGTGCCCGATGAGCGTTGAGATAAGTTCCCACGTGATGCCCCTCGCTGCTCTCTCTCTCTCTTAAAAAAAGTGCCGCGATGAGATCCTGGGTCGTTCCAGTTTTGCGAGCACTTGTCTGGAGGGAGGCCTTGTGGGCGCGCTGCCGTGGCCACGGGGTTCGCTGGGAGCAAGCGGCCACCGCCCACAACCACCACCCGACATCGCTATTCGTTTGGGTAGGGATTTTATGGTTTGTTGGGCTCGTAGAGGGGTGATGTTCTATGAATGGAATGCGGGATATAGCGATGGATGTGGCTGCCGCGTTGGGTTACCGGGTTGCAGCGCTGAAATGTCACGATTCCAAGTCGAGCTTGGGTTCGAGAGTCTGGTATGTATTTTTTTTTAACACTGCAGAGAATGGCAGTATCTCTAGTGGGCTGCAGGGGCGTAACGTGACCCCATGGACGTTGTACACATTGAAAATCGTTCATTTATACACAGGCGATTGAGTGCATGTATCGTGCGTGAGCTGAAGAAATTCTGTCACTGAATGAATTTATTTTTCATGGTTCCGAGTTAGTAATGTGTTCGGTGTTGAGGTATCGTGCTGGGCTATAGTGCTGGGCTAAAGTTCTGGGATAGATGCTGACTGCAGTGCTGGACGTTGTGATGAAACTCTAGCACTCTCTGTCACGTTCCAGTGGTGGGTGCTGCTCTTTCGTACTGGACAGGGTGCTGTCGTGTGCTTGCCGCCTGGGTATGCAGTATTAGGCTATAGTGTGAGGTTATGTTTATTTATCTTAAATACATTTATGCTCTTCACCCAGGAAAGACTCGCTGAGTCTCGAGGCTCGTTTATCCAGAATCGAACCCAGACCCTTGTCACTTTAAGTGCTACCACTGCAGCACCTTGTTGCGTTAGAGTGTTTGAGCTGTAGTGTGGGGCTACAGGGCCCGTTCATCGTTTGATTTGTATTGAGCCATATATTTAGTGCTTGGGTTCGAATGCTGAGTTAGGTATTGGGATAAATGTGCCAGGGTGTTACTGCTCATATTGTGATGGTGCAGGGTACTGCGTTAGGCTCTGTGCATTATTTCAGGGTGTACGGCATTCCATTGGGTCGGAGGAATGAGCCCCAAAAGTAAAATGTGTGATGGAATTTAGGCGGTTTCCTGAACGTTGTTTTTCGTCTTTTTCTTTTTTCTCAATGGCAAGATGGAGCATACGACGCTCTATGTGTACATCGCGGTTATGAAGCCGTTGTATTTTATGAACGTGTTGTTTAACATTCAATGCATCATTATCTACCCAGTCACGTGAAACAGCAGGAATATATGGTGGTTAAGCAATAATCTTTTAACACTCTGTGTGTAGCTGCTGATGTACACTGCATAACAAGCATGAGATGTCACGGATATTTTATTTTTAATCTGCTCCGTAATTATGTTTTTTTTTATAATAATTTTCATTATCATTGCTTTTACAGTCTATTACTCGTAACTGCTCTTGGTCTTCGCCCATTTCTACCGGCTTTAGCGTCACGCTCTGCGAGAGGTGAAATATCCAGTTCGATGCCGATGGTGATCGTATGTTTGTACGTGTTTCGATTTAAAGGGGTTTATACTGTTTGGCTGACCATGCCTTATGAGTAAAACAAATTAACCTCTTGGCCAAAATTTCCAGTGACTAAAATAGTCGTATTTGTGCTAAGTTTCATGTTTCTAGATCTTCTGGACACCAATTACAATGTACATCGGTCACTAAGTCACGACCACATACGGGATACTTATTGAATAAAACTGAGTAACAGCAGGCTGTGATGGGCGGGACACGTGTGCGGGGTGGAGGACAGAAGTTTACCAAACCAGGTACCGGAGTGGCACGCAGACGTTTCTAACTCATCGTGAACCCCAGATGGCTGCGATGAGATTATAGGAGAGGTCCTCAATGGGATGAAGCGATGGCGTCGGTTTCATGGCTTTGACGCTACGTACCTATGTGTATATGACGTTGAATTTATTTCGCACCGCACGTAGCCAACCGCGCGAATCGCAGGTGCTGTGGAACTGCGATCGCACGCACCCTTACTTGCGCTGCACGGTTGCGGGAGGCTCGCCGTGGCCGCGGTTTCGCGTGCGCGAGCGCGACTCGGAACGTGCGCCGTCTCCCCCTCGTCCAGGCTGCTCCTCAACGCCGGCATCGACATCAACCGGCAGACGCGGTCGGGCACGGCGCTGCACGAGGCGTCGCTCTACGGCAAGACAGAGGTGGTGCGCCTGCTCATCGACGTGAGGCCACACGTGGATAAACACGCGCTCGCACGCACACGCACACACACACGCACACGCGCACACACACACGCACACACACGCGCACGCACACGCGCGCGCCAGTGCGTTTGCAAACAAAGACAAAGATTCACCCCCAACCCTCCCCGAAAGCCTGTTGGGGAAAATGCTGCTCGTGAGCACCTATGAAGGCCGGCACGGTACACGAGAGGGTGGGTGGCCAGTGGCAATGTTTACACACTACACAACGCGTACTCATTTGAGGCTGAATCGACCAAGAGGAAACCCAAGAAGAGTTCAGATAATCGTCACTGTTGTGGGTTGGTGGATCGCACAAATGTTGTGAAACTCCCTTCCCTTGGCTCGCCAGGAGGTGGTACAGCAACAACAGTCGACTCTACCTTATCCGTCTGTAAGGGATAGAGTACTCTTTGGTTCTTTCGGTGAGGTCACATAGGTATAAAATAAAATAAATCACGACGTTTCAATCGCAACACAAGCGTCTGTCATCAGGTGAAACAGATACAGCAGGAGAACTGCTGACATAGGAGTAAGAGCTGCTGCAACAAGAGTTTATATTGGATTTTTGTGGGCTCAACCCAGTGGTAAGTGGGCGGAGCTAGAGAAGGAATTTGTACGTAACTGTGAGAGATTAGCATATCAATGTAAGAGATATTAGCATGTCAATGTAAGAGAGATGAGCGTGTCGATGTTAGACGGTCCCAGCCACCGGAGGTGGTGGGGATCCTGTGCCTGGGCTGCTTCACCAAAATCCGATATAAACCCTTGTTACAGCAGCTCTTTCTCCTATGTCAGCAGTTCTCCTGCTGTATCTGTTCCCCCTGATGACGTCTGCTTGTGTTGCGATCGAAATGTCGTGATTTAATTTTATTTTATTTTATACCTACTACGTGACTTTACCGAAAGAACCAAAGAGTATGGATCCCTGCAGTCACGAAAACTTCAAATCTAAAGGGATAGAGTGTTTACCTCACGCAGGTACAAATATTATCGCAGGTCTAAATATTATCGCAAGTCTAAATATTATCGATTCAATTGTGCAGTTTTTGGTAAGCGAAAATATTCCAGTTTGTGCCTCCCAAACGGGGATATTTTTCTATCTCTCAAACCAGGAAGCAAAATTGTGACTTTTTTTGTTTTTAAACCTGGGCCTAAGTAGGTTTGCATATAAACGTTTTTTAGGATGCTGCTAAATATATGCGATGGCATCACAGTTTCAACAACTCAACATTTTGGGTCATTTCCAGAAGAGAGTAAGTTAAAGTCATTGGTACAATAAACGGTGTCGTCTTCGGCGACCGTAGGCTGTAAATTAATGATCGAGTTGCGTCAAGCACTTCAAAGGCCAAATGTGTAAAAAAAAGGAGATTTATCACATTTTAATTGCTTGTTCAAGGATGCATTAAACTCAACACAGCATATTTTTCGGGTTGTGCTAAGAGTGTCATTAAATATGCATTGGAAAGCAGCATTAAAGTACATTCGAATATCAGCGATGCGGTGATTTCCTCAGTTAAACTTTGCCGCGTAATGCTCTTTGTTGGCAGCCTGTCTGCTAAATTGACCTGTGTGTGTATTTTCACGTATTACGTTAAACTGCGAGCAGGAGATGAAACTCGATTTTACCCAGAAAAGCCTCCTCACTGATTCTCAAGGACAACTATTTTTTTAAGAAGGTCCCGCATTGTGCTGCTTAACTGATTTTTTTCATTGAGTAAATTTACCTGGAGAGTGCGTGGAGAAAACCCACACACACACGCACGAGAAGAGAACACTCAAACTCCAATTTCAAGGTAGGTGAGCGGCTTGCTGAACTCATATCTAGCGGTCAACTTTTAGCCCTGCTGGCATGTTACTCACACACAATGATCTCGAACCCAGTCAATAAATCACTGGATTGTATGTATGTATGAATGTTGAACTTTTTTTGCATCGTATATTGCCAACCACGCTAATCGGAGGTGCGAATTACACACAGACGTGCTCCACCACTATAACCACCACAACCGCGCTTGGCTGTAATATTCAGCCATCTAATGATGTGCCAGCTGATTGGTTAAAATTTATTCTTTGGCTCACAATTAATAGTTACATACGTCGGCAGTGACACGGCCTGGCGGGAGTACGTTCGCCACTTACTGCAGAGGTGCACGGTAGGAATCCAGCGGTCGCCCCAACTATAACTGCGGGTGCAACAATCATAATGGATACGCTTCATCTGCTTCCCAAGTGGATGTTAAAGGTCCCCAGACATCATTCGTCTGCTGAAGTAGGTCATCGTGTGTGCCGGACGTCACGGTCCAAAGTTGCCAAGAAAAAACATGGCCTGCAATTCGGGTTATGTTTAAAACGTGGGCTTTTGCACCCAATATTATCCATAATAGAAGTTTTTGGGTTATATCATGTCAAAATAAATGTGTCGTTAAACCCGCCACCACCCGAGACAGCCGATTCGTAAGGTTTGTCATGTGAACAAAACATGCCAATTCGTTACGAGTGTAATGAGCGACTTCTGCGACACGTCGTGTAGAGGGGACTTCTTCTTTATCACTCACACTGGGCACAACACAGGCCAACACTGATTCTTTCTCACACTGAGTATAACGCTAGATATAACCGTCTCTACTGGCTACACACAGCCGATCACTCGGCGTGGTCCCATCTCCCTCACTCGGCTACGCCGCTGGCTAGCGGCGTCACGGTGACGGCGATGGAAACCCCGCAGGAGATCTTCCACGTGGCCGGACGACGGAGAGAGATTTCGGCGAGAAGCAACGCAGCCAGGACCCAAGACCCCGCACACGAATGCCGAGCCCCGGGTCCGCTCCCCCTTATATCCCCCCAGGCGTGGCTTGGCCACGCCTCCGGCCACGCCCTCTCGTGGAACCTTCGAGCAGGTTCCCGGAGTATCTCGGCTAGCTCCACCTTACACCTTTGCCCCAGATAAACCTCCTTCTCTGATTGGTTGGTGCTTAACCGTGCCCGTACCCATGGTTCCCCTTCCAGGCCAGCAGGTGTCACCCTGTCATTACACTAGTAAAGTTTGTACACGTGAATTTTGACTCATTGTTTTTTTTCGGTAAAGTCACGTATGTAGAAATACAATAAAATTATATTAAAACAAAAAACAACCACGACGTTTCGATCACAACGCAAGCGATCTTAATCAGGTGTCAAGAACAAATCACGGAGGTAAATACAACAAAAAAGATGAGAGGCAAGAATTCAACAAACCTGAAAAAACATTATGTGAAGCACATCCAGTCAGGCCAACAACACAGACACTTCCTGGCGGACCACGAATTTCAGAAGAGTGTTAAATTTCGTGTTTAACCTTTGGATTGCACATACCAGCATAGATAGAATGAAAAATACGAGGTATACGGTCAGTAGAAATACATATACAAGTCCACCAAGAGGTAAGGAGGGAGGAAAGACGGACAGGGAGGCAGAGAGAGAGAGAGAGGGGGCAGCTCAAAAAAGGACCACCTCTTGTAAATACAAAACGGCAGCTCAAAAAATGACCACCTCTTGTAAATACAAAACGGCAGCTCAAAAAATTGCACATCTTACACGTAATTACAACGGTAACTTCCCCGTAGAAGTGTGATAATAAAGTATTAAAGCTTTATCACACTTCTACGGGGAAGTTACCGTTCTCACCATGGGAATGTGGAATTTTCATGACAGAGCTTGGGGTCACCAAAGTCGATCTCCTTCTGTCGTACGGCTGCTGATGCAGAGCAACAGCTACGGTGTCACATTCAGGTGTTCAGGCCAGACAGCCGCGTCAGGAGCAGCGGAGCGTACCGCTGTGATGTCTCCTTCGTATTTGTGTATCGGACGTTGCCCCGTGAAACGTTCTACGGTCTGTTCTGGATGACCACGGTCGCACACCACAGGGTTTAACATTTTTTCCATTCGTGCGTCGGGAATGCGCATCTGCCACGGTTTGTACGGCTGCGGTTCAGGGTGAACCAGGGGCGATGAGAACATCGCAAATGGCTCGCTCGAGCGGTTTTTTTGTTCCCTCGTCTGGAGTGCACGACCCACACTGCCGCAGCACGGCGCGCGGCGGTTCGCGCTGCACTCGGCCCTCCGTTGCATTGCCAGAGCCTCGTGCCACCGCGCTGCTCAATGCGTGGCTACGATGGATTGCAATCGACCTGGGGGGAGATCCCTGGCAGTTTGGGAGACAGACTCGGTAATGAGGGTAACGCGCACGCCTCTCCGTCCATTACCTGCCCCTAATCGTCGGACCAGGGTCCTGTGTGTTGTGGGGTTTATTTTATGTAGTGGGGGGTGTGGGGTGGGGTGGGTTGACCGATGATATTGGTTGGTTTCCCAGCCCGCAGTCGACTTGCTCGCTCACTCGCCCGCCCAGACGCGGTGACATCTCGTCCCCTGTGGGCGTGCCGTGGCTCTTTGTTTGCGCTCGTGTGTGCACGTGTGGATCGGCGGTGGTTTGTGCGCATTTTGCGCACCATTAATTCGATATTAGGGCGTGTCTGTGTGTGTGTGTACGTGGGGAGCCGTGGCGCAGTGGTTAGCGCGCTGCGCGAGTTTGATTCCCGCTCACGGCCAACATCAGTGACGTTTATCTGAGCTGGCCCTGGTCCTCCCATTGGCCAACTTAGCCATGAACAAGTACCCATTATGATATATTAGCGTTTGCATTGGAGAGACAATATATGTAATTGTGTGCCTTGTGTGCCTTTTGTACATTATTCATTGACTTGATCTAAAGATATGCACGAGCGTTTGCATTCAATTTGCGTGCATTATTCCCGAATCCTGCAATGACCTTGAATCAAAACAGTTAATTTAATCCCTTGGCTAGTGGGTGATGCAGGGATGCGACTATGTCAATTGTTACACCCGATGTATATAAGAGACCTTAACCAATGGAGGGACTGTGCCCTGCCATGTGAACGTGCAATTTCCACTGCTGGCATAGGGATGCCAATGCATGTGAGCGCACATCATGATCTTCGTTAGAGCCGACACAATTTGACTTGTTCATTAGAGCAAAGCACGAGAATTATTCAACTGCAAGAGTGTGCGGAGAAAACCTACGCTTGTTCGGGGAGAACACGCACAATTTACCGCGTGGGCACATTATAAATCTGCTTGCTCTACGACTATATCGCGACCATCTCGCAGCCTTCCCGGCAGGTTTATTTCACACCAGCAGATTTGGAGTATTGCACGCATCATGGATCACTGTGTGTGATCTGCCAAACCCCGCTTCGCTTTTTTACCCCCCGCCCCGCCCCGCCCGCCGCCTACGCAGGCCGGCGTGAACGTGCACATCCGGAACACCTACAACCAGACGGCGCTGGACATCGTGAACCAGTTCACGGGATCGCAGGCCAGCAAGGAGATAAAACACATGCTGCGCGGTGAGTCCACTCCGCTTGTTCGCAGGTTTAAAAAAAACATTATTATTATTATCACTGGGATATTTTATTCGGGATTGTGTTTGGCTGCTCCAATTGTTGTTTGCTGCTCCAACAACAAGGCTACATCATTGTCAGCAGAGGCCAAAAAAAATCGGTTGTCATGGCTGTACATCGTGACATTTTTAATCGTGTCACGTCGCGGAAACTCTCACTAGTAGAATCTCAACTCCAGCCAACGAGATAAAGAAGCAGATTTCCCGTAATTAGAATAAAGTCGATCCGTGTTGATTTCCTAGTTTCCTTGTAAAAAATAAATAAGAAAAATGTGTTCATTACTTTCCACGCATTGTGCTGGCCGCAAACTCTTAGCAGATGCTCATTTCTCTCGTTAATCCGCTGCAAAATTTACCAAGCATCTTCCCGTCTCTCCTTTTTGCATTTGTCAACCATGACGATGTTGCCCTGTGTTTTACGCTCGATGAGTAGATGGCGTACACTGTATATTCAACACATTTGGTCCACTTCATCATCATGGCATGTTGTTGGAGCATGAATTTGAATGATCTCTAACTTGTAACGGTTCTGGAATCCTTAATGTTAGCTGGGAAACTCTATCTTGATGTACTTATGCTTTAATCTTTTTTTTGCCAAACTGGAAATAGATTTGAGAGAATAAATTGGGACATAGTTGGCATATCGGTGAGATGAGAAGAAAAGTGGCAAGCTTCTGAAGCATAGAGCGAGAGCTGATGATAATTATAGAGGAGCGGGATCCTTAGTCTCTCTGGGAATCAAATGTAGAGCTTTACGTTTCAATAGTTCCTATTATTATTATAGAACTTTAATAATCAATCATTAAAACTGTTGTGCACCTGCAGTAATGAGACGCCACTGCAGTGAGTAACAGTTTTAAGGGGGCCTACAGGCTCCTTATTGCTGTACCTGGCAAAAATTGTTACCTTCCATCCATCCGCTCCTCTGTGAGTGCGTGCATGCAAGAACACACGTGCTGAACATGTGCGTCTGTCTGTCTGTGTGCGTGCATTTCCACGTGCAAATTTATTGTACGGTACAAACCCTGAACAAAACAGAGGATCTCTTAATGGACTGGCTCGCCCCATGTTCTGTTTAGTAAAAGGTTACGGTGCAGCCCTGCAATTGCTTGTTCACACCACTGCAAGCAGAAGAGCCTCCACTAGAGGATGCCTCTGGAGGGTATTTTTGCCCTACTCCTCCATGTTGTCCAGACGTGTTTAAAGAGGCCGGAGTACCCCACACTTTACCCCATTACACACGCGCTGCCCGATGATGCTGGATGTAATTACCAGCGAAACGTCGTACTCAACCATTGTAAATTATCTACATCATGGGACTTCCTTTGCCAGTACCAAAATATGATAATAGGTTTTTCTGCTTTAATCTGGCAACAAAACAGGTGTTAAGTTGTTAAAACACCGAACTGAAACCTTTTTCAAGGAATCATGTCTGCATTAACCACAAAAGGCCTTTAGGCGTTCTCTGGTCTAACACTGTTTGAGACGAGGCTCCAAAGAAAGCTGTCTCTGGTGTGGACCAATCAGTTTAATAGACAATGCATATATTATCAAAGTATTTTTTTGTTTGCATTTTGACCACAAGTAATGTGGTTAATGCAGACATGATTCCTTGTAAAAGGTTTCAGTTTGGTCTTTTAACAACTCACACCTGCTTTGCTGCCAGATAAAAGGGGAAAAACCTATTATCATTGTAAATGATGTTGGTTCACTCTTCAACACACCGGTGGGCTAAAGTAGTGAACTATTTGTCTTTTGAAAACGTGTCACATGTTTTACTGTTTGGCCGTGTCGGGTGGTGGAGGGGTTACGACACATTTATAAATAACGCGATCTAACCCAAAAACCTTTATTATGAATAATATTGGTCGCGAAAGCCTACGTGTTAGAACGTGGTGAATCTATTCATTGGCATTGCGTGGACCAGAGGCGGGAGGTACTCAAGAAACGTGCACCGTTGTTTCAAATGCCGCGCCGAGAGATCTCACATTACCAGCAACGTTCGGATTGACGGCGTGATGATCATTATTCCTGGGCAGCATCCACTCGCTTTCGTGCGGGGTGATAATTGCCATGCAGCTGATCAGGGTCTTTATAGGCTTTAATCAAGGTGCAATCTGCACATTTGTGGTGGAGGTGTCTGGTGCGGGATGGAGTGATTGGTCAAACGTGCTGCGTGTGGTGTGCAATTTAATCAATTTAAACAATCTAAACAATTTAAACACTGCCTCCGTCATGGAAAGTTTTCACGGCACAGTTTCAGAGTTGAATTTCGCGCACACGCCGCGTGATATTAAAGTCTTTTTCGCACTCTGTGATGCTTAAGGCTTCAGATATGTTAGATGCTGATTAATTATAATTGCACTGGGTATTGTGGTATTTGAACATTTAATGAAAGTGCATTTCACGTGCAAATGTGAAAGTTCAAATGTATTTTGGGTATTCTGCCATGGTGAAAGTTTGAGCACCCTGGAATTGCAATCTAGAAGCCACCAGTATATTTGACATCATGATAATCATCTTTAAATCCCAATCAGTGCCTCCAAATTTTATACAACTCCAACCCACTGTTCCATTGTTATTCCCGAATAAATTATCATCTCCTTGTCTCTGTTTCTTTCACATCGCGTGAACCTGTCCACCACCTCCAATCTCCCGACCTCCGTCCCATGCACAGAGGCCTCTGCAGTTCTGCAGGTGCGGGCGGTGAAGGACTTCAGCAATGTATACGACCCCGAGAGCCTCACGGTCAAAGCCGGGGACACCATCACGGTGAGTGCCCAGTGGACTCTGCCATGTGTGTAAAGGGCGCGTGTCCTTGTGTGTGTGTGGTGTTTGGGGAAGAGTAGTGTCGCGGATAGCGCTACGAACCCGGCGACCCGAGTTTGATTCCCGCTCACGGTCTTCACCGATGACGATTATCTGGACCGGTCATGGGCCTCCCCTAGGTCGACTCAGCCTCAAATAAGTACCTGGTGCGATGTGTAAACATTGCCACTGGGGAGACAAAGGCGGCCGGGCGTGGTGCTGGCCACCCACCCCCTCGTGTGCTGTGCCGGCCTTCATAGGTGCTGCTCGCTAACAGCACTTGCCCTAACAGTCTGTTACGGGCTACACGGGGGAATCTTTGTCTGTGTGTGTGTTTGTGGGGAACGGTAGTGTAGTGGTTAGCGCGCTGCGCTACGAACCCGGCCCGGCGACCCGAGCATGGTTTCCCACTCACGACCAAACAGCAGTGGCGAAAATTTGACCCGGTCCATGGCCTCCCCGTAAGTCAACTCATCTGCAAATGAGTACCTGGTGTGGTGTGTTAAACATCAGCCCCGGATGAGACGAAGGTTGCCGGGCCTGGTGCTGGCCACTCACCACCTCGTGTGCCGTGCCTGCCTTCACAGGTAATCGCTAATAGCACTTGCCCCAACAATCTGTTGAAGGCTATAGGGGGGATCTTTGTCTTATTTGTTGCTGCTATTTGCGACAGCCGCTACTGCTACGACCATTACCAACTGACACAACGGCTTTGACAGCTATTGCTGCTGTTACGGTCGCGGTGGTCGCTGGCGCTGCTTCCCCCGGTTGCTTGTGCAGCTTCGCGTTCTTTGCCGGCTGCAGGTGGTCGGGCAGCACCTGGACGGGCGCTGGAAGGGGGTGGTGCAGGAAGCTCGGGGCTCCGATCGAGTCGGTTTCTTCCCTCCGACCATCGCCGAGGTCATCAACCGTCGCACAGGTGCCCAACTAGCCATGGCCCTGACGCTATCACTGACACTGACCATACCGCTGGTAAGGGACGTTAACACCGACGCTGACCCAACCGCTGCCGCTGAACCGAACAGTGACCAAGACCCTCGTGCTGTCACGGGACACTGATCTTAACACTGGCACTGACCTTGGAAGCATCACTAACACCGTCACTTTATCCCAGCATGTTGACGGGGAACCTAACTTACACTTTCACTAACACTGACACCGACTCTGTACTTAATCCTCAGCCTGACGCTCTGACACTAGCCCTGATGCTGACCATAATACGTACCCTAACTCTCGCATTCTTCTTAATCCTGATATTAATCTTAACATACATAAGCAAAATATAATTGAAGGTATGAATATGATTCATGTCAGTATTATGTACAGCACAAATTCAGCTCACACAACACATTTAACTTGAACACTGATCGCAACGTTTTGATATGCACTTATAATAGCCACGAGCCTGGCCCTAGCATTAACCAAAGCAAAAAACCCAAGCCTAGGCCTACTTTATTATTCATTTTCAAGTGACAGATTTTCGTTTCTCAAGCTGGATTAAATATGTTGTGATGTTTGGTATTCTTTTGTTTAAATCAGTTACATTTTGCACGAGGAAGAAGTTCATGTAGGCCTCATTCTTGTCCAAGTTTGCCTGTCCCACTATACAAAGCTGTAATTAGAAAATAATGGAAATTTTTAATCGTTTTAATTTTCTGGGACACACGATTTCAATCTTGATTCATCACTGCCATGTTCAGAGTTAAGATCGTCAGTGTGGAAAAATGTATATGCGATTCCAAGTTTTAATGTGAAACGGGTGCACTTACATTTCATCTGTGGTGTAATTGGACACTCAAGAATATGATTTTAGAAAAAGATGCACGTGTTTATCCAATCAGGACATGAATACTCCGTTGCCAATAATTCAATTTCCGAAGCCTTCCCAGATCATTATGAACAAGATACGTTTTTTTTAATCACCTCCTTCGCTGCCAGAAATCAGGATGTGATAACCTAAAAATAACAGGAAAAATATTAAATAACAATACAACCAAAACTGTAATGGACACACGCAGGGAGTCTGGTCTTCATAAAATTGCAACCTTCCAACTCATTAATCCGTGCGAAGTGCACGAGGAACTGTAAAGTAGGAGACTCACGATTGCTTCTGCCGCAAAATCACGCGCGTGCCCCGTGAAGGGGAAATTAAACGAAGCTACAGTTCCACGGTTTTGTTTTCTGCTGCTTGATTTTGGGACGAGCAGGCAAAGATGCAAAAGGCACAGCTTAAATCGTCTCACTCTCGTTAATTAAAATTTTTGGTTGCTGTGCGGCGACACAGGGGTGGGGTGACTTTTGAGACGTAATTCCATCTCTCGGATGCAACTCCCGGGATTCGAGTGAAGAGCCGTCGCATTAACGGGCAGATGTAAACAAAAAAATCGTACTCTGATTCGCAATTTTTTTTTGTGGCAAATGGCGGAAAATGTTTGTCGCAAACCCACCTCCACCCGACGCAGCCAATTAATAATTTTGCCACGTGAACAACCGTGGCCAACGTATTACTGCTTCAGCACAGAGCATTTTAATTGGTGTGACACTTCGCTAGAACAATTCTGGCAAATGCCTGATGATGCTGGTTGTAGCTATCAGCGAAACGTCGCACCCACGTAAATGTTGCGTTTAGCACGGTTGGCTACGTACGATGCGAAATAAGTTCAAAATACATACATAAAACAACACCGATGGTGCTGCTGAAGCCGTAATAAATATACGCGTTTGTTCATCACGCGACAACGTTATTAATTGGCTATGTCGAGTGGAGGCGGGTTTATGACACACATTTTCTTGATGCGATCTGACTAAAAAAGAAAATGAATGATGAATCATGTTGGCTGCAAAAGCATTCGTGTTAAAAATCGTCCCGTCCATTGTGAACCTTTTTACAGTACTTTATGTCGAATGACTCCATATCCTGAGTCTGCTTTTGCAAAGAAGGTGTTAATGTGTGCGTCTAGCGCTGTTCACCTGTGTGTTACGTGGAAATGTAATATTTGTAAATATGATGGCCAGCTCTAAATAGCTCGTAATCAATGCAACAGATCTGAACGCACGGACGGAAATCCCCGGCAATCCATTGTGAAAGGTCAGCATAATGATCTGTGAGCTTTCATAACATTTTTATTTCGTACGATTTCACCCACGTGTCTTTGTTCACATCTATCATTATTTTTTATAGTTTTATATTCATGCTTTTTCTTTTCCCTGGTGTTTATTTTTATTTGTTTTGACGTCTTCAATTTTTGTTTCGTTGTCAATGGCTGTCCCATCCTCAGCGCACGTGAGTCCCATGAAGTGCCGTCATCCTCCACAGCCCGTCGCCGTGGGCGCCGGTAACCACGGCAACCCCAAATCTCCCAGCATTCCCTGCTGCGTAGCCAACGGCAACACAGCCGTGCGGCCAGGTACTGAAGCGGCGCAAAGGGTTCTGGGGTCGGTGTGAAAGGAACAAACAGACAAAAGCATGTCAAATTAAACGTTCAATTTCACAGTATAAGGTTACACGTTGGTTTTCACATGTGTGCACGTGTACGTGTTTTTTTGTTGTTTTGTGCCACCTGCTCTCTCTGCTTCCTGAAATGGCCTGCGTGAACGAGCACACTGGGAAACGTCTCGATGAGAATTCACGATGCCCGCCGTTTGGTTTTCAGCTACGATGTCATGCCAACAAATCGCCTCTGACTGTTTAAAATTCCTCCCCATTCCGAGGGTATGGCCAACACAACCCTGAGAGCCCTCTAAGCGTAAACACGGGAGAGAGATTTAAACCGTAATTTGCTGTTAGTGGAACGATGCGAGTTTAATTGGCACTCGCATAAAAAAGCCAACTTGTATTGGAGAGCTGGAATTTCGCCCATATAAAACTTTTTACCGCCATCATGGAAGGTTCCAAGGTTTTTTTTAAAACATATATGTAAATATATAAATTAGATTTCGAAATGGAAACCTGAATAATTGGTTATTATTATTTCACTTCTTAGCCATTTCAGAATGAGCAGGATGACAAATGTACATAGTCAATGGGGGAAATGTAACAGTATATGTGAATGTGCGTAATCCGTTTGATACATATGCTTAGCATTTATATAATATTTTCGAGGAACATTCCTCACAAGAGCTACAAGAGATCCTCGTCACTTAATGTTATCCCTCAATCATTTGGTGGAGCTGCAACATTTATATTGAACTTTACACATGGGCTATGAAAAAAATCTCCCCCGATGCATCCGATCTAGATCTCACCAATGTTGAGCCTAGTTTGTAATTGGTTGGAAGACCACCTGGGAATACCAGGTATTATAGGTTCATGAGACTGCTAGGAGATGGCAGTAGATCATTGGAATCTTGAATATATCGGTGCGGAGCTTTTGGGTGGGTTTTGGTGTGGATGCATGGGTTTTCTTAGGGTATTCCAGTTTCTTCCCATTTGCCAAAACGAAGCCCATTCATATAATTGTCCAAACACTCCGATGTCCAGGACCCAACTGAAAAATAATCTTGAGACTCATTGATGATTTCCCTGGGTACATAAAGGACATCGATAGCATTCTTATATGATTGGGGAAAGTTAAGTTATCGGACACGTTATATTTACTCGAGATGGTCGAAAATGAAATGATGTGAATTATAACTGTGCACACACTTGCAAGTTATAATGCATAAAACATGGTTGCTGTATGTTCAACATTATATGTACAAATGTGTATAATTTTGTGATAAGCTATACAAATATATGTTTGTGTTGAGGGCTCCGTCAACTTTATAATGACCTTAGTGTCACACTCCATGAGAGGTGACCTACTTGGTTGACTGATGAGGGGGATCAAATTTGCGTGCTTAGCTTGAGAATTAAAGCAATTTAGATGCTCAGACTGAACCTGCCCTATGAGTGGAACTATTTTTGGGCCCCAATTTTGAGGTTTTGATTTTGTCAACGTTTTCAGTTATGAGCAAAGACTCAAAACAATATATGCATGCCAAATTACAGCATTCCCAGCCCTTTAGGACAATACCATAATTTACATCAGTCGGTTGCTCAGTTAGACCATCCACACGTACAAATGCGACATAAGTAGACACGTGCCTGTAAATTCCGCAACACTGCTCGCGAGACGAGTATTTTTTTTACATCACGACAGTCGAGAGAGAGGGAGATATCTTCAGAGCATATTTCGACCAGCATATTCAAACAGGCCTCTATTTATTATATATCCATTTGTTTAGGAAAAATGAATGCCAAGTGAATTAAATAAGTTCCTACGTTTTAAGTTAATTCCTTAACATTTTCACAGTGTTTTATTCATGCATTTTTTAAAAAATTTCATCAGCATGAGATCCCAAGGCTGTTTTGGCTCAACTGGACCTACTGTTCGCGTTTACACACAGCTCCTTTGAGTCTGTGCGGCTGAATTCAGCTTTGTTGGGCATGCGGCTCCGCTGCCTGATGGATCCCAGCCATGGCTGATGCTTGCCTTTTCCCGAGCTTTGTATTTGTCTATTTACCCGCGTCGTGGATGTGAGCTGAGTGAACTGGAGCATGGTGAGATGTGGGTCAAACACCGTGCCTTGAGCCCCTAAACCTGGGTTCGAATCTTGGCCACGATGGACATTTCCACTTTGTTCATTCGGACTGAATGTTAGACTGTATGTATCTATGTTGAACTTCTTTAGCATCGTATGTAGCCAGCCGCGCTAATCGAATGCGGTGAGGCTTTGCGATCGTCGGTATGCGCAGTGAAGAGACAAAGGTGGATGGGGATATACTCAGGGTTCGAACAATTGATCGATTTATCGATTGATGTCGATTCTTAATCTCATGATACCATGCATCGATTGTATAGGGTAACGGGTTCGTGTCACCGTACAGCCACTCTCGAGAGGCCACCGTTCGCCACAATTGGTTTTCTTTCATTGAAGCGCGACCTCAAATCGATGAAAATTCATCGAAATGCCAGCGGTGGGCCACCTCTTGCACGGTGCGTTTGGTTTGGTCCGCGCCACCCTCCCGTGCACACTGCTGGTTTCCAGTGACTCGTTGATGCACCTCTACTGGACATCTGAGAAGAAAAGAGCTTTGTGGTTCACCGGATTCCTCCTCCCCCTGCGGTCTAAATAAAGATTATGATAAAGATTCTGAGTAGGTGCTCACTCGCAACATTTTCCCAACATTCCATAGATTTTTAAGTAGATCTTTAAAAAAAAAACCCGTTTGTATGCAAAACGTGTTTTTTTACTTTTGTCATGTGTCATTGAAAATACTCTGTTTTTGTTTTTGTGAGTTGAGGGCTGGATGGTGATTTTTTTTTTCGTTTTTACAAGAACCTGGTACGAAGCGCGAACGATAAAAACAAATCAAAAGGGGGCGCTCAAAATTCCACGGGCAGGAGCCCCCCCAAAGCACAGTACTAACAGGCTGGGGCGTGATGGGGGGGGGGGGTGCTCGCTACTGGTGATGGTGCATTTTAATAAGAGTGACAGTTCATTGCAGATCGTTTCTTTTAGTGTGTTATGATAGTAAGGTCCTGGGTCTCTCTCGCCCGCCCCCCTTCATCAATCTACGGGAAGCAGTATTGTCTTGTATGGGAACATTGTTCTAATGGCCAACAAGGATTTTTGGTGGGGGGGGGGGGGGCATCTCTTCAACGGTGGATTGAAAATGGGTTGAAAATAATCAATATTGATCATTGGTGCAGTGTCAGTCGAACACATACATCTCTACAAACAGCAGAATGCTCAGAGAACATTACAGAGTATATCTAAACAGAGATAACTTCTGAAAAGCAAAGCCTAACTTCTACATTTGCTTGGGGTGCAAATACTGTATGTGCTCTCCTTGCAATATAATTATTGCGTTTCAGGGTCGCGATTGTGTTCAAAAATTGGTTATTTTGATCAATGTCGGTGAATGTAGCAGCCTGCAGTGGCTGGATGGGTCCCTTGAACACATTGCCTGCAAAAAAATGTGTGCTGTCCCCATACCTGCTTTTTTTACATGCGCAGTTCGATGCATGTATCGTGAGCTTTTACTCTGAATGACTTTGTGCTTGGGCTTCCATTGACACAGGGAGGGGAGCACATGGCTTAGAGGACATACACAACCGGGTCAAAGACATCGTTTTGACTTCATAAAAGTAACTGCACTAGGGGGGTAGGACTCGTCGCTCGAAGGGAGGATGGCCTGTGGGCAAGAATGAGAGCAGAGTGTGCAGCCAAAGGAGGTAACGGGCCCAAGAGGCTGTCTCTCATGGGAGATGGAGTGGTTAAATTGAGCTAGTGTGGAGGCGCTAGACCAGGGGCGGGGAACCTTTTTTTTCTGCCAAGGGCCATTTGGATATTTATAGCGTCATCATTCGCGGGCCATACAACATTATCAACTGAAAAATTTGCCTGTTATATTTGGTCAAACATTGAATTAACTCGCCCCTAATGTGATGGGCTGGAACCTGCTTCTCTTTGGCGAGGCGCGTGGTGATGTTAGCCGGTATTGACGATGTTGCTACTCGCAACTGCTTTTCCAGGTTTGCTCCTAGATGTAGTGAATTCGAGTCCCGCCTGCGGTTGCCTTGGCAGGGCCACACCAAATGATTTTGCGGGCCTCATACGGCCCGCGGGCCGGACGTTCCCCACCCCTGCGCTAGACGGATTGTTACGTTGCAGGGCAATGAGAGATGCCTCGAGGAGGCCTTCATCCAGCAGTGGATTCATTATAGCTGAATATGATGATGATCGTGATCGTGAGCTGAACGAACAATATAAGGCGATTAAGCAGTGCATCATTCCACCCCTAAATGTGTCGTAAGAAATCATGAATAGGATAAAACACTCAGTGTTCCTACGGGAGTAACAACAGGAAAGAGACATACTGCGTTGGCAATCTTGTAATGTGTAAGTTTCATTTCGAGAGAGTGACTCTTGTTAATGAAGACTCAATTAACTTTACATTTCGCTGGTAAAGTAGTGCAGACAGATCCCTTTGAGAATTTGCTTTGTAATGGGTAACTGGTTATTTTGTTTTAAAAGCTGTTTGGGGGCCTCCAGATAAAAAAAAATAAACTTTTTGTTTTGTGATAAAAAAAAAAAGATAATTTGGGGCAGGATCATGTGAAACGTAACCATGAAGCCTTTGGCCCAGCGAGTCTATCTCCATTGTTCTATCATCCAATTTCTAGATACCTCTCGTATTACCTTTTTATTAAAGCATCACACATAAATCTTGACTTAAAGCTTTCGTGACTGCAGGAATTAATATTCTTGGAGCCTTTCGGCAAAGTCACGTAGACAGGTTCAAAGAAAATAACAAAATGACAAAAAATCACGACGTTTCGATTGCGACACACGCGGTCGTCATCAGGAAAGGCGGTGACGACCGCTTGTGTTGCGATCGAAACGTCGTAGTTTTATGTTATTTTATTTTAACTTATCTACATGGCTTTACCGAAAGACCCAAATAATAAGCATCACGCATGTTTAAATGTTTAAGAAACACATGTACAAAAAACCTAAAGTTTAGCTTTTAGGACTAAATATTGCTTTATTTATTTTCGTCCTTCCGAACAGTAATATAACTTCACAGTTTTCCCTCCTATTCCTCCGAATATATATAAATAATAATAATCACAAGTAAACAAAGTACATTCGTCACCTAATAGTATTTCAGCCAAATATTGATGAAAAATGCGGCATTTCATTTGGCGATGCTTCACTGGCAGTGATGCACAATAACAAATAACAACAGACTCAACACTATTAAATTGTCTTAAAATTATGAATATATAACTTTGGGCATTGGTCCTTAATAGCAAAAGAGACAGTCCAGAGAGATAAGAGTGACAACTGGTTAGAGACTGAACTGTGTACTGATCAGAAATAAATGTAAATACGTTTCACGACGAACCGTTTTTTTTATTTGCGTGTGAATAATGAACTATTATTAGACGTTGGCTCGCAGACAGACCCTTCAATAATATAAAAATACATTGTTTTATACTTATATATATTTTTATTGTTTTATATTTTTATTATTTTATTGTTTGCCTTCTACGTGACTTTACCGAAAGAACCAAGAATATGAATCCCTGCAGTCACGAAAGCTTTAAATCAACATTTTTGATTGTCATTATTGAAGGGTCTGTATATTTTTTTTATTATTTTATTGTTTCACTTCTACGTGAATTTACCTAAAGAACAAATAATATGAATCCCTGCAGTCACGAAAGCTTTAAATCAACATTTTTGATTGTCATTATTGAAGGGTCTGTATATTTTTTTTTATTATTTTATTGTTTCCCTTCTACGTGACTTTACCGAAAGAACCAAGAAAATCAAAAATGTATTATAAGGACGTGAACCTCATTTGCGTTGAAGGTGAAATGAGTCGTCCGGGATAAGGGAACACTTGATGGGATCTGAATCGAAGTGTGTCTGAGAAATCAACTTGAGCAGAAAGCGTTCCCTCTTAACGCGAGAGGCTCGATGCTGCTGCTGCTGCTGCTGTGCGCGCGAGTTCCAAAGAGACGTTCCATGTCGTGGCAGAGACGGGAGATGGCACAATATGAATACAGCGCAAATGAAATGAGACGGAAAAAAATAAATAGGCGGCTTCTGTCACACGCATTGCTCCGGCTATTGCAGGATTGCACGAGCAGTAGTTTCTGAGCTGTCACGAAGACCGTATTAACCCTTGGACGGATTTTTATCAAGACGAATGGGACCTCTCACATTGCAGTCGCACGTGTGCACCGTTCTCTACGAGCCGCTTCAGCTGTTGTTGGAGACACAATGCAATGCCGATGCAAGGGACACGCTTTGCCTTCGTTCTTTCGGAGAATGCATCGCACAGATCCTTGTATGTACGTGTGAACGGAATGGAGGACGCATTATTGCATGTTCGTTTTAGGATATTTTTACTTAGTGACATAATTGTAGGTGCGTGGCTCTTGTTAAACGTATCTGTTAACAGTCCTGTGTGCGTGTGTGTCTTTGTGTTCGTGTGTTTGCACGTGCGCGCGCGCGTGTGTGTGTGTGTGTGCGTGCATGTGTGCATTGGCCAATTGCTCATGAGTCTCCTTGCATGCCTGCTCACGTGCATACTTGCACATGCGTGCATGCGTCTATGCGTGCGTGTGCATACACACATACCTGTGCGCGTGTGTAAACATGCATTCAACGCGAGTGTACACCTGCCGATGCATCCGTGTGGCCATCCTACCTGCTCACCTGACTACCCCACCTATGCGGTTGTCTGTTTATCTGCAACCGTCACACCCGTCCATATGCCCACCTACATTGACCATCTCACCTGCCTTTCTGCTTACTCTTGTCACCTTCCCCACCTATCTTCCCACCTGCATTAACACCCCACCCACCTATGTGCTCACCCACCTGTACGTCCCTCCAATCTGCTTACGTCTGCCCACTTTCATGTGACCGACTCAACTGCCTGGCTATGAACCTGTGCGACATGCTACCTGCATGCCTGCCCGCCCACCTGCCTGCCCGCCTGCCTGCCTCCTGGCGAGCGAGTGTGCGCGTGCGTGTGCGCGCGTGCGTGTCTGCGTGTGTGTCTGCGTGTGCGCGTGTGCGTGTGTGCGCGTGCGGGCGGGCAGGCTCCCCATCCATCCAGCGGGTGGCGGATGGGGGCGGCTCCGCACAGCCATCCCCCTCCTCCAGTGAGGACATCTGGGTTCTGCGGAGGCCCCTGTCAGGTATCGAAGGCCACCTCCTCCACTGTTACGAACCTCCCGATTCCCACATTTGTCAAGCCATCCTCCATACCATCGGTCCTCCTCCACATGAAAGCATTGGCGTACGAGAGCGCAAACAGATACGGTTTGGCATCGGTTCTGTACGTTTACGGTAAAAATAAACGTGGATTTTTACCTGTAAACGCACAAACGTGTCCCTTTGATGTATTGAAATGAAGGACGTCTTAGTCAACCTGAATTGGTGCTTCCAGATGTATCTACATGGAAAAGGGTGTTGACAATGATGTCTACAATGGCAAATGAGATTCCCGCCTCAAAAGGAGCGCTTGATTTGGTCATCAATCACGTCCTTGCAACATCACCATCTCGAACGTGCACCGCCAATTGGAAAAAAAAAATATCTCATGCCAGGTTTCCAATCCCATTTTCTTGTTCGAATAAGTGCTGCCCATTAAAATAAAAGTTGGTTGGAAAATTGGCAATCGCACAATCGAGATACAATTTGGCAAGCGATAATGTATATAGCATTATAAGGGCTGCAGAGGAGTGCAGCAGTACGTTCTGTTTTGTATGGGTTACCTCTGAGTTGTCCGGTTCCTTCCATAGAGGCTAACCCCCCTTTTCCTGATGACGACCGCTTGTGTTGTGATCGAAACGTGGTTTTTATTTTAATTTTAGTATATATTTTTATTTTAGTATTTTTCTATCTACGTGACTTTACCGAAAGAACCAAAGAAAAGATCAGAGTAGGCACCATTTGGAGACTGGACTTTACATAATGGGGCTTGTTAACAATTACATGTGAAATGTTTCCTGATGAACCGTTTTGAATTCGGCATATGCATGTATGTTGAACTTCTTTCGCACCATACGTAGCAAACCGTGCATAGCTACCTATTCGTAGCTATTGAGTACCAATTCCTTCAAATGTCGCACTCGAATTGTAGATGTTGCGGGTTTATTCTCCAACACACAGGTGTGCTGAACTTGTAACGAATTGGCATGTTCTCTTGATGTGACAAACCTCACTAATTGGCTGTGTCGGATGGTGGCGGGTTTAACGACACAATTATATTCATGTTATCTAACCCAACACCATCTATTATGGGTAATCGTTTCAATCCTTCGATAAACAACATTTTTATTTGAAATCAACTTATTTGCATTAAAATAAAAAATCATAAAATGTCGCTAGCACAAAGCATTATGTGTAGAACTGTTGCATCGAGGTCAAAGCATAATGCACAGATGTGCTGCATTCCTAGGCCCAATTTGATTTTAATAGGAATAGGCAATATTTAAAGAAATGTAAAAGGGTGACAGGGAACAAATTGTCCTGCAGCTGCTTTAAATTCCTCACCTTGCAAGAAGAGGGGTACAGGAATTTACGGGGGGTGATTTACCATCGAGTTTTATTTGCGTATCCAATTTGACTTAGAAAGCAAATTTGCTGGGTAAACAAAACGTGTGCACCTTAAGGATGGGTTTTTGGTCCGCGTAGTCACTCGTTGCACCGTTCCCTGGCTGCATGGGGAAGCGTCTGCTTGCTCGTGTTATCGCTGGCGTTTTACATTGCACTGTGTACTAGCAAGTCCCTGTGGTTTGTGTATCTGTTTGTGTATCTGCAATACAAAGATACACAAATGTATATCTGCAATACGCAGGGACCTGCAATACGCAGACACACAAATGTTGGCCGTACTTGTGTCGCTCCTTCCGTTATGAAAAAATGTTAAGGGATTACTTTTTTGATAGCCAGATTTCAGAATCAGAATATTTTGTTTTATACTGGAGGAATTCGATTGGCTATGAAACTCTTGTTTTTTTCTCACACGTCCAGTTTGATGGGTGGGTTTTCAGGACAACTCGCATCATCCCCTGTGGCTTTAGGCTAACTGGTTGGATAGTTCTTGTCCACTGAGGAGGTACGTTGGCAGGACGTATCCAACTACCTCTTCATTTCATCATTGCTTTTGTTACTGAAATCTCCCATCGTTGGAGGTTTCCACCGTCGCTGCATACGCGACGGAGCCAGAGAATCTGTGAAAATGGTGTTGCCGCAGGGTGTAGTGATGTGTGCAGCAGGTCGAAGCGTGAGCCTCTCTTGGTTATCCCATTGAATGGAGTCTGATATACTGAAATGATGGGCTGTCTTCTGTTATTAAGCGAGGACATTTTATTGCTGGATGACAATGGATGTAACGGTGTAGCGCGACACCCATAATTTTCACGTTATGGGGAGTACGAAGGCAGTGGTGCACATACTCGAGCCGGGCACCCGAGCAAACGGGATTATTACATCTCGCGGTATTTTCCAGGTAAAATATTTTAATAATAATAAAAAAGAAAACCTTGGCAACTTTTAGTGTAATTCCTGGCCACAACTAAAATCGGTGATGTGTGAACGTGTCCGGGATCCCGTCTAGGTTAACTCAGCCTTAAATGTATACCTGGCATTAACATCACCATGGGGGAGACAAAGGCGGTTGGGCGTGGTGCTGGCCACCCACCCACTCGTGTGCCGTGACAGCCTTGATGGGTGCTCGCTAAAATCAGTTGCCACAACAGTCTCTGTTAAAGGCAATTTTGGGGAGCTTTATCTTTGTGTGTCTACCTGTGTGTGTAAGGGGGAGCGGTAGTGCAGCGGTTAGCGCGCTGTGCTACGAACCTGGGAACCGAGTTTGATTCCCGCTCACGGCAACACCAGTGACGAATATCTGAACCGGTCATGAGCCTCCCCTAGGTCGACTCCGCCTTAAGTGAGTACCTGGTGCGATGTGTAAATGACGCCACTAGGGAGACAAAGGCGGCCGGGCGTGGTGCTGGCCACCCAACCTTACGTGTGCTGTGCCAGCCTTCATAGGTGCTTGCTAACAGCACTTGCCCCAACAGTCTGTTAATAGGCAATAGAGGGGGCGCGGAGGTCCTAGTCTCTGTCATATATAGAACGTTTGTCACAAGACTTGCCGCTAATTGATTCATTGATGGAAATAGAACAGTACACTTATAACGTGTCACAGTAATTGACCCCTTATCGATCTCTAGCAGAGAGGTGCGGTGGGAAGTCATTGTGTGCGAGCAATTACACTTGAGCTGTTCCACTCAGCGTTTTGACCGTATAAATTCGCACGAAATTGCACATTGTGTGCTTAGGTCACATTGTGACTCGAGAGACGACAGCGGTACAGTACAGCAAATGTGCACTGTGAACCTGCATGTGCAGACCATTATTCCCATTGCTGTGGCCTCACGTGTGTAGGGTTTCTCCGGAAGGAAACCAGAGTACACGCTTGCACAACATTAAGGCGCTGGCCAAGCAGTCCAATGTGAGACCTGCCCCCCACCTCGTCTAAGCTGCTCTGATTCAATGTTACTGTTACAACGAACAGTGGCCGAGGTCAATGTTTTAACAATTGGGTCCACCCTCGCTTTAGATTGACATTCTCGAGAGAGTTTTTTTTGTTTGTTTGATCGCGTAAATATATATAAATGTCACGTAGAATGAGAATAAAATAATAAATTGATAAAATAAAATAACACAATAATATTCTCACGACGTTTCGGCCACAACACAAGCGGCCTTCATCAGGTGAAGGGACGAGACTGTCTGGTAGGACAGCGCTGGAGTGAAAGAGCCACGTTCACTCCAGCGCTGTCCTATCAGACAGTTTCGTCCCTTCACCTGATGAAGGCCGCTTGTGTTGTGGCCGAAACGTCGTGAGAATATTATTGTGTTATTTTATTTTATCAATGTATTATTTTATTCTCATTCTACGTGACTTTACCGAAAGAACCAAAGAAGATGAATCATTGCAGTCACGAAAGCTTTAAATCGAAATATATAAATGTGTCGTTAAATTCCACCACCACCCGACACAGCCAACTAGTGAGGTTTGTCACGTAAACAGAACGTAGCAATGTGTTACTAGTACAGCACACAGGTGCTCAGATTGTAAATGAATAGTAATTGCTGCAGTCACGAAAGCTTTAAATCAAGATTGTAAATGTTGTGGCTTTGCTCTCCAACACACCGGTGTGCTGTACTAGTAACGAATTGGCCATGTTCTGTTTACGTGACAAACTTTACTAAGTGACTGTGGCGGGTTTAACAACACATTTATATATTTATGCGATCTAACCCATGATATTGGTCGCGAAGCAAATGTTTTTAACATTCTCTAGAGAATGTGCGTATGAAATGATATTTCTGAATCCAATGAGATGAGGGTTCTACATCGAATGAGACGTGGCTTCTGAATCATGCGAGTGGCGTGTCGTGTCTGACAACACTGACATCGAGAACCACAATTTGCTTTTATGAAGTCAACCACGACGAGCAACCATTTATTACAACCGCATTCATGCAGAGTCAACCACAGCTACAACCACAGTCAACCAGAGTCAACTTGGGCAGCCGCAGCTAACCATTTGTGTCCTAAATGACAAAGGGCTGTAGTTGTAATGTACAGCACATGCTGAAAAGTAGTGTCTCTCTTACAAATATGTTTCCATTGCTAAATATAATACTCCAGCAGTAAGTTTTCATTGTAGCACATTCATATCAGTTTACTGTCATTCCCAATGGACCACTTCGTACGAATAGTGAGAAACACATTAAGGTTACTAAATCAGTGACTCGACGAGTGTTTGCGGTATCGATGGCACGCGGGGTAGCATTCGGGTTGTAACGTTTCATTATCCATTAAAGTTGTCACAGAGGTTTCCTGCTCGTGACCGCTGAGGGATTGGTGCTCATTGCCCGTTCACAGCCCTGAACCAGCGGTGGCAGTGCCACATTCCCACAGTGGGCGTGCATTCTCTCCGTAGCACAACCGCTGTTGACTTCCCCACGAAGTGGTACTTCATCTTTTATACACGATGGGTTTGAGTCAACCCCCTCGAGGATTTGAACTCGCAATCCCTTCTCACTGTGAGTCGCTCGACTCTGCTGCTGATCCCCCCTGGCCAAGCAGCATCCGGCCGAGCCAGATACAGCACACTCTGTAGCCCTCTTACCCATGTGACTGCCAACCGTTTCTTCCCGTTGTCTCCCACCATTGTCCGTGTGCCCATTTTTGTTCCCCATTCCAACTCTTGTGCTGACGAGAGCATGTGACTCAGGTGTGCTGGAAGATTGATCCTGTTGTCCAAGCGTTCGCACGGGCGAATCGCCCAGACGCGGTCTCCCAAAAGTGCTGTATTCATGCTATTACCTGCAATTGAGGTTTTTCTTCGGGTTAGTTCGCGTAAATAGAAATGTGTCGTTAGACCCGCCACCACCCGACACGGACAATTAGTGAGGTTTGTCGCGTTAATAAAACCATGCCAATTAGTTACTAGTTCAGCGCACCAGTGTGTTGTAGAGTCACAATTAGAAATGGTGACACATTCATCGTATTGCTCACGTTAGTCTGTGCCTCATTTTTTTTAGATAAAACAAGTATTTTGTGCAGAGAAAAAACAGTTAATAGCTTGCACTTTTGGCCAAAGTACTTGAAATCATATATATGGTGTGTATATATATACATACACCATACCTGCAATTGTACACTCACACACATGTACCATGTTTTGGCATGTCGTGACGACAGGGTCCAATTAACCTTGACAAAATTCTTGCCCTGTCTCCCACGCCCTCTTCTCCCTCTGTGTATCTCTTCCGACACCCGCTCTGGCTCCGTCTCCCCTCCTGCTATCGCCTCCACCACCCCCAGGGGACAGACGCAGCAGCGGCAGCACGGGAAGCGCCGTGAGCGTGCGCAGCTCCGGGAGCGGGCAGAGCATGGGCAGTGCCAACGGGCCCCCACCACCGCTCTCGGGCCCCGCCGAGGGCAGCAAGGTGAGAGCGCTGCCCAACCTCTTGACACTACATTTCGATTCGAAGCTTTCGTGGTCTGCAGGGATTCATCTTCTTTGGTTCTTTCGGTAAAGTCACGACGTAGAATGGAAATAAAATAATAATAAAATGAAATAATAAAATAAATAATGATAAAATTCTCACGACGTTTCGGCCACAACACAAGTGGCCTTCTTCAGGTGAAGAAACAGGTCTATCCAGAAACACAGAGCTCATTCAAGCTCATTCAAGCTCTGTCTTCTGGATAGACCTGTTTCTTCACCTGAAGAAGGCCACTTGTGTTGTGGCCGAAACGTCGTGAGAATTATTTTTATTTTATTTATTATTATTTTATTTCCATTTTACGTGACTCTTGATACTACACAAGGTGGACGGAACCATCGAGTTTAGAGACGGTGGAGGGGGGGGGGGGTTATCGTCGTGTGGATGTTCTAGGTAAATGAGATATTGGGAATGCATTGCAATTGCTGCACTGTACCGGGTAATGGTTTACCACAATTACAGTCAAGATTTTCGGTTGGTGCCATGCTTGCCTTGAGATGGAGACATTCACTTTTGGAAACTCTCCCAACTGAGGCGGTGCACCACCTCGCGTCAATGATTGGTTCCCCGGCAGATGTTCGATAAATACTTCCCAAGATCCTTCGGATGGATTTTGGCCACATTAGGGGTCAACTTGTTTTGTTATGCGCCACTGTAATGATTGTCAGAGCTGGAATTGAAACGAGTTAAGTCACGCAATAATTTGACAGTGGTTATTTTTCGGACCGTCATTGTGACCAAGTATTTTGACTTGGTGATCGTGGGCAGAAGACAATGACCAGACAGAATGTTGATTATAGAGCTGAGCGTGCTCAAGCATAATAACGGCGTTCGGTATCTTTAGCACACTTATCTGTTGTTACTTAAATCTAAATTAACGTGTAATAACGTCATCATGCAATACTTTTGTGAGTCTATAACTATAAATATTCAAACATCGATTCGTTTTTTTTTTATATATAAATAAGAGCCTCGCTGAGTCTCAATAGTAATTTTCATGAGGATCCTGCATTGGGTATGTTTGGCCAGTTGGACTTGAAGTAATGTGTTTTATTTCGATTTAAAGCTTTCGTGACTGCAGGGATTCATCTTCTTGGTTCTTTCGGTAAAGTCACCACGTAGAATGGGAAAAAAATAATAAATGTATGTTTTATTTTTGTTACTTTATTTCCATTCTACGTGACTTTACCGAAAGAACCAGAAGATGAATGTGTGCTTTGCTTCACGTGGGGAGAAAGAGAAGTACACAGAGAAAACCCACGACGCATGTCAGAGGATTTCACACAAAGTTCCACACACACGTGGGTTCACGAACCCACGTATATATTGACGTCTCCTGGCCCAAAAAAAAAAAAATCTGAATTAATCAAGATGAGAATCTGGCTCTTTGAATCTGACGTTAGTGTTCAGTCCCGATCCACGTAACAGAGCTAGAGCAGCTTTTGACTAAAGCACGTTGCCGCCATCAAACAACTGCCTTCCAACTGAAGCATTAATCCCGCAGAGCACGCAGTGCCCCTTCTTCAGACACAGAGAGAGAGAGAGAGATGGAGACGAGAGAGAGACGAGAGACATTGCACAATACTGTGTGCGTAGTCTGGAGTCGGCCGTTTACGCCAATAACATGACAATATTAACTGTAAATATTGCTACTTTCTAGATGTTTTCCAATCCACTGCTGGTTGAAGACCTCTCCCAAACTACAATATGGTTCTTAAAAAGACGTTCAGTTGAAATGCTGAAAAATGAGCCCTTTAACCAAAACAGAGCTTTTAACGCCTGGGGGTCACCGTTTTGATGAATAGGTTTCGACTACGGCAAAGGAATCTTAGTTATCATCAACCTGAAATTTCTCTCCCATTTAATGAGGCTTAAGTCGGCACAGCAGAGGCCATCAATGGAAGAGACTGGAGATGGGGTGCTAGCAGTTATGCATCAGAATTATAATTTGTATTTATACTGGAGGAATCCGACGAGCCCTGAAGCTCTTCACTCAACGAAAATCTACAGCTGTGTGTAACGACGCATCGATTCAGCGGTTAAAAATGTATTCTTCTGCTCGCACTATGCACACAGTATTGTGCACGTAAGCATTGCAATTGGCATTTGGACTCATTGGCGGCACACCGGTGCGGCATAACACATTGGTCCTCATAAAACAGTCTAAAATCAAAATTTTAACTGACATTCGTCTTCCGACTGCTCACGAGGATTGATTTTGACGCCATCCGCAAGATGGGGTTGTGAATCGCTGGAAAATAAATAATCATAGCGATTTTTTGTTTTGTTTCACCGTGCACCAGGTGTACCGCCAATACTTTAATTTGCTGTGTGGAACTGGTTCACTTAAATCCCGCAGCCACTGGAAACGCTCTGTGCACCACAAGGAAAACCGATAATTAATTATTCAGTCTCAAATCACGGCAAGGGGGGGGCATTGTGCCACGGTTGGTGTACATAGCCGCCAACTCCATTCACTCCACTCCCCGCCTTTGGGTCCTGTGCCTACTACAGCCCAGAGCGCTAGTGGGTAGACTCACGGACTCCTTTGCTGTAGTCAAAATCATCTCTTTTGTCGGACGGCCAGGTCTGCCCCCAGTGGTTGCCATCAGCGCTCATTCCCAGCCACCCTTTGTATATTAATATAATGCTTAATAAGCCACCGTACATTTGCTTCTAAAACTAATTGTGTGTGTATGTATGTTTTGAACTTCTTTCGCGCCACACGTATCCAACCGTGCTAATCGGGGGTGTGGGGGCAAGGATAAACAAACTGAACACAAAAAAATGGTTCCGAAGAAATTCGTTTTAAATGTATTTGTTTATTCTTTATTGGCAGTCGTGCACAACGCACACATAAACTAAAACAAAGCCCATTGGACAATACCGCTTCCTTAAATATATACTGTTTTATTTAATAGGTGATGTGTCAAGCAATGATGGCCCTTCTTCATAGCACATATTTTTTTTCATGTAATAATTTAGAGTTATTACCTGTAAAGGTTTCGTGTTACAAAATGGTTACTCGAGGAGAAACATATTCTGACACCTTTTTTTTTTTTAACCCTGAAATGTAATACACTTCTCATGGCACCACATTGTAAGGTGTCATATCGAACTGTAGGCCACACAATTTGTATTTCCTTCTACGTCTCTCTCTGCCCTGAATAAGGTGACCATACTCAAAATATTAGCTTGTCGTGACATAATACTTAATATTAAATAATAGTTTATTGTAAATAATATTTAAAAAAAGGTTCCAAGAATGCCTGTTTTATCAATTATATATATTAGGCAAAGTGGTTGTGCAGTTGTTCACAAACCTGGCAACCGAGTTCAATTCCCAGTCACGGCTAACATCAGTGACTAGCGATCTCTGAACAGAACCAGGGCCCTCTCGCCCATTCAGCAGCCCATACTGCCCTGCATGGTGAAGTATGGTCAAACAACCCCTCCCCCACGAACGACACGGTGCAGGGAGGCCTTCAACCATCACCAGATTGACAAAGGGCTGAAAGTAATTACTATAACTTATATAAATTTATTTAACTTCAGTACTTTAAAGATAACCTTTTCCTTTCTTTTGTAAGACGTGACTGGTGTGTTTCCAATTTCCATTATAGCCTGGTCTTAGGTTCCATTTCACCCCACCAGCGAAAGCTGAAATTGTTTTAGCCGGAGCCTGGTGTCGGCATTCTCTGGCAGATGTCGAATGTCGCACATTGCGCGTGCATCCGAGCAAAGGCACAATTTAATTTCTCAACCGAGCGGTAGTAATAATAATGTCTCCTGGTGTGGTAGTGGTGCCATCGCATAGCAGGACACATTCACCTGGACAGCACCGTTAGTTATCGGGGAGGGGTTAAGATTTCGGATAGGTGCCCTCTCTGCCACATTGCAACTTTAACTTGGTAGGCCCGTCTGCCCGTGTGCCTTGCTTGGGTTGTGACTGCGGCGCAATGGTCGAGAGCTAACATCAGTCACGAGCAATATCAGAATTGGTCGCTCGCTATCCCTCCATCAACCCACACTGACCTTCCGTGGTGAAGTGTGGTACATAATAATAATAATAAAATGCATGATCGACATGGCTTTTTGGAGGCCTTCATCGATTTGCAGATTAAGATTGGGTGAAAGGTCTTCATTATAAACGGTTAACACAGGATGGAGCATTTGGTACAGTTGTCAGTGCACTGCACAATGAAGCCAGTGACCGGGATTCAGTTCCCAACCATGGCTGATGTCACGTCAGGGGTTAAAAATATACTGCACATTCCTATGGCAGGGGCAGGTCAATCCATAGGACAACCACAGTTTACTTTCCCAGAGTAGTGCACAATTTATCGACCTCGGCGGGATGATGGACTGAGTCAATCTCCAATCAGGATTTTAATTTGCAACCATCAGTCAGTCGACTGTAGCGCTGAGCCATCTGGTCGGGTGGCTAAAATAATTGACGAGTGATATCCAATCAGGTCTAACTGCACTGACCAGAATGGTGAAGTATGATCTAACAAGCCTCCATGACCAACGCCGCCTGGGCAGTGAGGCCTTCATCTAGCAATGGATTGACAAAGTCTGTGAATTTATTTTATTTATATAATGGTTACCACGTAAGCCTCCAATCCCAGGAATGCAGGTTCGATACTTGGTCATGCTCAGCTGAGTGGCAGGTGGAATCAGCACCTTGACAGGGAATTCTCTCTAGGTCTGCTGAGCATAACATGAGAACTTGTTGCAGTGTGTGAACATCAGTACTGGGGAGACAAAGGCGGCCAGATGTGTTTCTTGCCACGCCACTACCACCTATTGCACCATGGAAAGATGCTCGCTAATGACACTCATCCCGGCAGTCTATAAAATACAGTAGGGATTGTCATCTTCATGATGCAAGGAGTGCATTGCTTGTGTGTGGGTAGATGTGCTTGAGAATGGTCCCTTCATTTCACGTGAAATGAGTCACTTATAAAGGCTTCACCAAGGTGAAGAGGTATTTTTTTTAAATATAAAAATGCTCTTTTAACACTTTACACCTTTTTCACGAATTGCAAATTAAACGAATGTCAATTTCAAGTGTTCACACCTGACGCATACACGATATATGTGTGCTCATTGTTTTACAGTCCGTTAAATGTTCAAACTCAGTCACACGCAAGTGCACATTTAAACGAACAATCCATGTTCCAATGATGGACCAATAGTCCGCCATTGGTTTTCCAAATTCCTGAGCGCACTTTAGATCCAAAAATATAATAATTACCCTAATTACAAAACCCACGGTGGATTCTGGGCCACCGCAGCCGCGGATCTTTCCCCTTGTGGAGGGTTATTTTCTGTCGTCTCCGTTGCTGTGTGGGTTCTGCCACCCCGTTTGTCTCCTCCTCGCTCGTTCCAAGCTCCCGCTCCCATGTTACTGCTCAATGATGCTGCATGCCGCCACCGCAATCGATCGCCCGCTTTCCTTCCGCGGCAACTCCCGACAGTTTTACCGTCGCCCGGCTCTCTCAACGCCGCCGGCAGGGAGGGCAGGGGGGGAAGAGGAGTGTAGAAATCCACGGAAGCTTCGCCATTCCCATTTAACACGACCACCCCCCCCCCCCACCCCCCTTCAAACGATACAAGATTCAGGTCGTGACGAATTTAACCAAATTAACTGAAAGGTTTGGCAAGTGTAGTAGTAGTTGGTCATATAATGCAGGACAGTTACAAATAATTAGCTGCGCAATCGATTAAGGTTTAGTTGCATTCCTCATGGAAATTGTGCGTTGAATGTCGCTCCATTTGACAGTGGAGTAATGTCCAATGTGGGTTTTACACGTGTGGTCTCGTAAGTGATGTGTGGGTCTCACACTTGCACATGTTGCGTCTTGTTAGTGATGCAGCGGTGGTCGCAAACGCACTGCACGTGTGTTATGCCGCATAACACGGACTGGATTAGTTTTCCAGATGGAGTGGGAGTGGATCTGGAGAAATAGTTTGGCATCTGCTTATTTGATATAATATATTCTAGGCCTTATTGAAGGGGATTTTTGTTCCAGGTTTTTTTGTCCTGTGCTTAAATTTCAATAAAATTCTCATAAATGTAAGCGGTTAGCATTTAGATGGTAAATTTCACTGTTTTGTTTGTAGTACTGTAATGCAAAACAGTGTGTGTGTATATATATAAACAGCGTAGCTAATCTTCCTCATCAATCGTAACATGCTCATCTTCATTAATTATGTGACAGAAATCCGTTAATAAAAAAAAACTGTTACCAAGTGTTCCACAAAAACATCACCATCGCCGTCATAGTTGTAAGAGGCATTGCGTGACTCACATCTGGGCCCTGTGTATTTCATTTGACATGTGTACACACACACACACACAAATGCGTGCACGGTACATATGCGAGTCAAACTGTTTCCTTGCTCAAAACGGGGCATTGGGATCTGTTGGTGGCCCTGACCCCACGATGGAAACTCCTCCACATTCCCCCGGGCAGGGAGACGACCGCCTTTCACCACCACTGAAAAGGCACAATAACAGATTCAGTTTTTAGCCAGACGAGCTTGGCGCTTCCGAGGATTTCTTCCCCCCCTTGTGATGTTACCTACGTGAAGATGGCATTGTGCATTGGCTGTATTAAATCGCAGTGTGTTACTTTCTCTGCCTCGTGTCAGTGTGCTTGGATTGCTGAAGTAAGTGGCCTTCAAACTAAGTGATGCATGTCTCTCCTGTGCACACCTACTGCTTTTATCGTTTCAAATTTCCACGTTATATTATTATTTGTTACCTCATTCAACGTGCCCTGCTTTGTACCCCCTCTGCCGTCCCCTCGCTCAAATACCTATATACCGTTCACCAAATGGGCCATATGACCATCGCGTGTTGTGGGATAGACATCCATCTCTGCTCGAATATTCGTGGCGAGCCGTTTTCGGTGGGAGACTTTGTTGGCTCCTTCCCGAACCCTGAAGCGCAGCCCATCTGCCTTGCGTGTCTCGTCGTGCTCACAGTGCCTTGGTTGAAGCGTGTCACGTTTTGTTCATTGTGTCACTTCGCCGAGCACTCCGCAACACCATGCCACGCGCGTGCGCCCGGGTCGTCGTGTGTGCATGCCCTCGTGTGCTTGCGTTTGGCCTCGATGGAATCACCTCTCATGCGCCAGCTCATTTCAAGGGCGGCTCCACACCCGGAGAGATCTGTTGAGCAATCAAAACGCTCTTGCAAATCGCGCAGCTCGATCGTTTGCCCGAGTTTCACGTGGACAACTCTGGTGGCAGAGACGTCAGCGTGTAGGCGATTCAGTGGCATGCAGCCAAGCGGCGTGACAGATCGCTCGGTCATGGACCAACCCTGACGCTGCTCACCACATTGTAACCACCACCACCACCACAACCAAGGCATCATTGTGGTGGTTCAATTGTATTGGGGCTATCCTGTGCTGATGATGCCTAAACAGGGTAAATCTGGTTGCACGGTTGCCGTTGTGCTTTACTGCCGTTTCATTTAAATAGGACACACGTTCATGTGGAGAAGTTTTTTCGGCTTGCCGTGGCATTGTAAATATTTTCAAAAATTTTTACATGTCAAGGACATATTGCCCAGAGCAATTGTTAGGGACAGATTGGGAAGTCAAAAGTCAAATTAATGCTTGTGGAAAAGTTTTGAGGCCTGCATTGTATTATGAACTTAAATTGTGTTATAGATAAACCTTGCCTACTGATGTAATCGGTGTTTGTTCCCGATGTTCAGGTTAATAACGAATCCAAAAATCGGGCCAAGATGTTAAATTTCGGATGATCTAAAAAACTGATGTCACAGGAAGTGACATCACTTACATGACGTCACGGCCATCATTTCCCCACCAAAAGTGGTGCCACTTGTTGAATGAAGGCATCAATTATTGTGCAATGTAAATTACCCAAAAATATGAGAAAAACCTTTTAAAATTGCAATTAAAACAAATCTCAATTTCCAACATGTTTGATTGTTTATCCAAAACCCATCCCTATGATATAACGTTATCAGAGCCGTGAGGTTAACTTTATGAATGTGTGTCAGGTGAGGTAATACTACAGATCTCACCCCAACTACGAATCATCAGGACAGCATAGTGTGCTTACTTTATTGTCACAATGTGTGTGTGTATGTATACGTAGGCTACTTTGTCTACGTATCACGTGAGTTCATGTACCGTTGACTATGTCAATGCTTTTACAATACAGGAACCCAGATGGACAACTTGCATTCAAATAAACAATTGAAGAACTGCATTGGCGGTGGTACACAAATGGAATAAAGGAACAATTAACTTAGTCTTACGGGACAAATTTGCAATCCCAATTTCTGGGTAATAGCTCTTTTTAAAAGTAAAAATAGAGAAGAGAGGGGGCAGAACGATTTGACCAAAACGTTGATTATCTTGCAAAGAAAATACTTTCTTCCCAGTGTTTTTAATTTGCCGGTTAGTCTTGCTTGCCCGCTCTCTCTGCTGTCAAGAAAGGCACGCTCTGAACACCACGAATAGAGTGGCTTAAAAACTGCAAAGGTGAGAGGTTATAATGGAGTGGTGGAGCAAACACTTTTGGGAAGATAGCACGCTTGCCATCCAAAAGCTATCCCTGCCCTTCCCTCTAACCGGTGAGCCAAGCAGCCACTCGTATTACCCCTATCAATAACCAACTAGCTTCCAGTGACAAGTTCCAGCCTTGTCACTGAAGCTAAAAATGACCAACTAGCCAGCTAGCCACAACTACTACTAATCCTCCCACTGACCATAACCCTAACCAACAAGCCAACCAGCCCCTTGTACTAGCACTATCACTAATCCTAACCACACTAGCTATCGAAATGCCAGCCATACCCCTAACCCTAGCCAACTAACCAACAAGGTTATAGCACTAAGCCCTAAAATTCACAATGAGCCAACTAGCACGAGCCCCTCCCGCTGAAACTTAAGCCACTCATAGCCCCGCTACTGGCGCTCTGTCAAGGCCCCCTTTTCACTCCGTGTTGGTTTTGCAGTTGTTTTGTTCCGCAGCACCATAGCCTGAAGCGAGACGCTGCCGCTTCGCACATCTCTCTTGTGTGCAAGGCAGCGCTCGTGAATACGGTGGACAGCCTGGCCCAATTCGTTAAATGTTCACTTTAAGCGTCCGTCCACCTTAGTGCCCACCATCGATACCGACCGTGGGCCGGTGCAGAACCATCCCGCGCTTCGTTTCAAACGTGCGCATCAGACGGTTCCATTAACTTCCCATTCATCAAATTGTGTGCATCCAGTCCGCCTGCCGAAGGTTTCTCGCCCACCATAAAAGTCATGGCTCTTGTGGCTCCAGTTCGGTGGGGTGACGCACTCCACCTCGGGGTTTTCACTGCCCTAGGCGGGGTGGTTCAGGTAAATAATTGCAGAGCGGCTGGCATTGGCTTCGTAAGAGCTGCCTCCAAGCGAATGGCAGCATCAGCTTCATCTGGTTTTGCAGGACAGCTAACGAGCGAGCGATGTTCCCGGAGTATAAGCGAGCCTGGTACGTAATCAGAATCCTGGATTGATTGAGTTAGAATTTCTCATGACGTTTTGACAACGGTAGGCATTTCCAGTAAATGTTTTTAGAGGTCCATTTGGCGACTTTCCGCTTGAATAAAATTGGCAACACTAGTTTGTCACTGTGCCCAAATAGGAGCCACAAAACAGCCATTGCTATGACATCGCGTTCCTGTTCTTCGTGGCCGGTGTGCTGCGTTCAGACGGATGAGGTTGCCCCATCGGAGACAGGGGGAGGGGTTGACCGTACAGGAGAGAGGGCCACTCTCGATGTTTGACCGTATGTGACTGTTCCACCGTCGGCAGGAATTCAAGCATGAGGTCAATGGAAAGGAGCAATAACGATAAACGCTGTCGGCTAAGCCCAAGCGTGCGTGCGTGTTTGCATGTCTGAGACTTGCAAAATCATTAATAACTATATACGGCTGAGCATGTAAACTCATTGAGCTGTCATGAAAAATGTATTGGGAATATTAAAACGAATAAACGGACAAATGGGTTTTGCCTTTCCACGTGAAAAAGTGTGACGTAAGCCGTCAGACGATGGGTGTTCCAGACTAATGTCATCCAGCGGCAAATGCTGAGCAAGCCTGGCTTTGCTGATGTAGTCCAGAAAGGTTGACATCGGTCCAGAGTTGTCTTTTGCTGGACTACATTTTTCTGTCATGTACAGATGGACATGTGTTACTTTATGAAATACACACGCTTTGTCTAACTGGGCAAATGTCTGAATGAAGGTTCTGTAGTTCACCTGTTTGTGTTTGATGATGTTGCATACCTTTCAACCCATACGATTTACCCGTATTTTTGTACAGGGAAATTGAGCAAAAAAAAGTATGTATTTGTTTGTGTTTCTCCCTTGTGATGGGACTTTGTAGGATGAATGTTGATATTTATAAGGGGCACGGGGTGACCAATAAAGTCATAATTGGTCGGTAATAAGGTAGGGCACTGATAAGGGGTTGACAGGTATGTAGATGTGTCTCCCTCCCGCCTCCCCCCGTGCGTAATGTACACACAGTGTGTATATTAGTGTGTAATGTACACACCCCGTGTGTATATTAGTGTGTAATGTACACACACAGTGTGTATAATAGTGTGTAATGTACACACCCCGTGTGTATAATAGTGTGTAATGTACACACCCCGTGTGTATATTAGTGTGTAATGTACACACCCCGTGTGTATAATAGTGTGTAATGTACACATTGGGTGTGTATAATAGTGTGTACTGTACACGCTGGGTGTGTATAATAGTGTGTAACGTACACATTGGGTGTGTATATTAGTGTGTAATGTACACGCTGGGTGTGTATATTAGTGTGTAATGTACACGCTGGGTGTGTATATTAGTGTGTAATGTACACGCTGGGTGTGTATATTAGTGTGTAATGTACACGCTGGGTGTGTATATTAGTGTGTAATGTACACGCTGGGTGTGTATATTAGTGTATAATGTACACACTGTGTATATTAGTGTGTAATGTACACGCTGGATGTGTATATTAGTGTGTAATGTACACACTGAGTGTGTATATTAGTGTGCAATGTACACACTGGGTGTGTATATCAGTGTGTAATGTACACACTGAGTGTGTATATTAGTGTGTAATGTACTCACCCCCTGTGTATATTAGTGTGTAATGTACACGCTGGGTGTGTATATTAGTGTGTAATGTACACACCCCGTGTGTATAAACTTGCCAGTGTGTGTATAGATTTTGGTGGAAACTTACATCCGTGGCCAACATCAGTGGCGATTATTTGAAACCGGCCAACTCGGCCTTACACGAGTACATGATGTCTTATGGTATAATGAGAAGGGTGCATAATTACATGGTTAGAGTCATTTTTAATAGTAGCAAAAATCAACAGTTACAGTGTTTTGTGTAAGGGACTCCTCTACTTATGAACAAGTTATGTTCCAGAGTTCTGTTCGCAAGTCGATTTATCCAACTTTACTCCTGTCGATTCCAAACATGTTGCACGGCGTGTACAATGAACACGGGGAATTTATGCAAGCGCTGTATAATTTCTTGTAGGCCTAGGTGCCACTGGTCCTTCGTGTTCTGCAGATGTAGATGCCAAACTTGATTTGGTGCTTTCGTGACTGCAGGAATTGCTCTTTGATTCTTTCGGTAAAGTCACAGTAGAAACAGGAAATCAATTCATTAACTAATAGCATACGACGTTTCGATTGCAACACAAGCAATCATCATCAGGTACAAATGAAAGCGAAAACAAACCTAGTAAACTTAGAAATATAGTGCAAAACAACACAGAGAGTCGGCTAACATCACAGTCAACACCCTACCTGTGTTATCGCTCTGCTTGTGTGTCTGTCTGTGTGTCTCCGGTTCTGTCTCTCGCTCTTAAATGTAGCAATCTTTGGAAGAACGTGATCAACCAGGTAGGGTGTTGACTGTCATGTTAGCCGACTCTCTGTGTTGTATTGCATTATATTTCTAAGTGTACATGGTTGGTTTTCTCTTTCATTTGTACCTGATGATGATTGCTTCGTGTTGCAATCGAAGCGTCGAGTGCTATTGCTTAATTTATTTTCTCTTTCCACTGTGACTTTACCGAAATAACCAAAGAGACGTGGATGCCATCACCGCCATCTGTTGCGCGGCGGTTGAACTTACGACCCTCGCTCCGAACAGGCGACTTGACATGCGGGCCAGGTTTGTTCGTATCTCTGACGGTTCGTAAGTCATATGTTCGTGAGTAGAGGAGTCCCTGCATGTTGAACTTATTTCGCACCGTACGCGGCCAACCGTGCTAATCACGAGGTGCGAGGGAGGGGCAACAAACTCAACACAATAACCAGTGTCGTACAAACGAGGAGAAGGTAAAGTATGTTTTCTGTTCTGCATTGGCAAGTGGCTCGGTGGTAGACAGAGCAGCTCGCAATCGGGAGGTTGCGACTTAAAATCCCGGGTGGGAGGTTGTTTGACTCAGCCGATTAATTATTCATCTGCAGTCGCGATACAATGAGTACCACTTTGTGTAGAGGTTAACAGTGGTTGTCCTATGGAAATAAAAATACGACAATACCTCACCCCTGCCATGGCAATGGGGAATTTCCACCACTGGCTCAGGGCTGTGAACCGCCGTGATGCTCAACGCTCATCTTAGCAGGATTCATTTCTCGTTTACTTTTCAGTTCATCACTTATTCACAATTTAATTGAGTTAAAATTTAGACATTTTGTTTTAGATTCTTCGTGCGAATGAATGCATTTTCATGTACGACATACCGCCTTAAAGTATTTTGTCAGCAGTTAACCGTTTTTATGCGTAAAATAAATTCATTTCAATGAAAAGAGATGGGCGATAATGCTGTACAACAAGTTCAATTCGATTCCATTTTCATTGCGACGATTTGCAATTGTACCGTTGATTTCCAATTGTGGCTCATGCAGTTTCAATGCCCCGATCCAATGGTGCAATCCCCGGTCTTTTTGTGTGTGCATAATAAATATACATAATGACCGTGTGTTTACATTTGTAACGTGTATGCACGCAGGTACCGTACGTATGTTTGCGCGCGTGTGTACGTATATATCTACGTGTGTGTGCCGCTCATTGCAAGTGCACCGTCCTTATCCAGGTGGTTGTTACGGTGGGTGTGCGTGCGTGTGCGTGTGTGTGCGAGTGACGTGCCGTCTCTTGTCCGTCCGTCCCCTCCCCAGGGCTGCCTGCTGGGTGTGTCGCAGCCCTCTCCGCTGCTGAGCCCGGCCGTGAACGAGCACGGAGAGCCGTCATCAGGTACGCAGGGGACCACCCCCACACACGCCACCGTTCGTATCCGACACTGAAATCCACATTGAAAATGCAATCCCTTTAGAACAGCTGCTTGTTGCTGTCTTTAGTTTGGCGTCCTTCGCTCCCCCCCCCCCCCCGCGCGCCTCCGATTAGCACGGTTGGCTACGTACTGTGCAAAAGAAAGTTCCAATCCATACTAATACGTCAGTTTAACACGTAGGCTTTCGAGACCAATATCATGCATGGTATAGGTGTTTTTTTAGGGTTAGATCGCAGCTAATTAGTAAGGTTTGTCACGTAAACAGAACATGCCAAGTCGTTACTAGTACAGCAATCTGAGTACGACGTTTGGCCAGTAATTACAACTGCATCATCAGGCGGATAGCCAGATGTAACAAGAACAAACCCCTGTGTTATGGATACTAATGCATATTCCCATCTGGCTGGCTCCGTAGCATGCGGGGGGCTGCAGGGGGATGGAGGGGGCTGCCCCCCCTCCAACCCCCTTCCCCTACTGAATTCTCACCCCCCCCCCCTTCTCAATTCTTATACGCAAGTAGAAAAATGTTGGTATAACATCGGGGGTGAGAGCCAGAGCAGGATACGTGATGGACAAAAGCCAATCGTACCGTTGCTCATTCTGCCCCGCGTTTAACATTGGTTTGAGGTTTGTTTAACGTCGCCCGTGTGATGTCGCCCTGAGATTATTTATTTTTATCTGGCCGCCCACTGAATCGGTCTTTCTGCTGGAGGGCACTGAACTGGACCTGAGGTTAGAGCGCTCATATCATATTAAGATGGCTGCGAGTTCAAGTCCCAGTTGTGGGTCAACTCAGGCCATCGTTTCGCCGGTTCGATGAATTGTAGAACGATGTTGTGGAAAATCAACGACGGTTAATCCCACGGAGAGATTCACTTCCGTCAAAAGAATGTGGAATTTCCGCCGCTGGTTCAGAGTTACCAACAGAAATGAGTGCTGCCCCCGTAGCTCATTGGAGCCGGGGGGACGATGACTTCTAGCCGCTAGTCTCACAGCCGGGGGCAGGAGTGATGGGTGACGCAGTGGTTAGCACACCGCACTATGAACCTGGTGAGCTGGGTTCAACATCCCAAGTTCTTGCTAACAAACATCAGTGGCGAGTGGTATCTGAACCAGTCCTGGCCGCCCTCCACCTCACCAACCCACACTCGCCAGCATTGTAAAGTATGTTCAGCACTCGGGAGGCTTTCATCCAGCAGTGGATTAACACCGGGCTGTAAATAATCGTGAAATGTTGAGACGTACACCCCAACAGATGTCTCTCCCTATATATAGGGCCAGATTCACATCTTGACAAAACATTGTACGTACACGTCAACGCTTTGGAGAATAAGCCCCACTGTCGCTAACAGCTAACACGGGACCAAAATGAACATCCGTCGAGAAATTGTGTCTCTCATGTGCTAGCCATTGGGCGTCCGAGCAATCCAAATATAACGCTGGCAGTGAAAGGGTTACGTTTCACAGGTGGCCATGGGCGCGTGTCCGGGCGTTTCGCGACTAATTTGTAGTGATCGCACACGTGCGGGCCCTCACACGTTTCGCATTCACGGTGGCTAGGTGTTGATTGTTGCCTCAAATTAACTTGAATCGTCAATTGATTGAAGTGGGTCAAAAAAGACGGGGCAGGGCAATGGCGCAGGTTTGGCGCACAGCAACCTGGTGGGGCTGCAAGGCGCGATGATGCACGGGTACATCGCGCATGCGACCTCTGTCCTCGTAGGCTTTTAGATAAGGTCACGAGATTCACAGACGAGCCACATGTAGAGCATTTCAGAGTCCTCTGTCATAGTCTTGTCTTATGCGTAATTCACTCCAACATTTGTCTATTCGTAGATAGAGTTCCTTTATATTAAATCGTGGGGGGAAGCAGCTGTTCAGTGGTTAGTGTGCTGAGCGAAGATCCCACCAGCCTGGTTTTGATTCCCGTATCCAAATGACATCAGTGGCAAGTCTGAATCAGTCCTGGGCAACCCCTTAATCGAATTGCACTGACCAGCGTGGTGAAGTATGGTCAAACAACACCCATGAGGTGAGGAATAATTTTTCCCCAGTGGATTGAACAGAAGTCTGAAATAATAATGTAATGTTCATCCAAAACAAAGTATAAGAGATGATACAGGATCGATAAAACAAGAAGTGCAACAGGTAGAGATACAAAAATAAATAATTGGTGCAAAAATAAAGTTCAACAAAGTATATACAAATGCAATCTAGTAATAACACAAACAATAAAATCAATCTTGATTTGAAAATCAAGTTACGGCACATTTACATCACTTAACCCTAAACAAACTTTATCATGAACGCAAACGCTGATGACGAGGTTGATGATAGCAATAGTGATGATCACTGCTACTGCAGCTATTATTGCTGCATCTGCTGCTTTGGCTGTTGATGATGATGATGAAACTCCTGTTTTTCTTGATGATTAATTTTATTCTGCAGCTGCTGATGATAATGTTACATTCTTCTGTTGCTCTCTGCTGCTAATTGTTTTAATTTATTGTCCTCACCCCTCTTCAATTCATTCTCTCACCACCTATCCGGTGCAGGCAGAGCCCACGGTGCAGGAGGTGTCCCTGTGTGTGAGCAGCCTCAGGGAGACCTCACCAAGAGACCCCATCACGTCTTGGAAGGAAAGGTTTGTTAACTACAAACGTATACAAACCACACAAAGATCCCCCGTATAGCTTTAAAAGACTGTTGGGGCAAGTGCTGTTAGCGAGAACATATGAAGGCCAGCACGGAACACGAGGGGGTGGGGGGCAAGCGCCAAGCCCAGCCGGCTTTGTCTCCCCAGTAGCGATGTTTACACACCGCACCAGATACTCATTTTAGGTTGAGTCGACCTAGGGGAGGCCCAGGACCAATTCAGATAATCGTCACTGGTTTTGGACCTGAGCGGGAATCGAACTCGGGTCGTCGGGTTCGTAGCGTAGCAGTAACTGCTACCCTACCGCTCCCCAATACCAAGGCCACCGCCATTCGCCACTAAGTGATGATGACGTTAGCACAGCGCCTGTGCCAGGCTAGGTACACTTTGAAGCCACGTGAAGTGTCGAAGGCTCACTGACAGCAGATCTCGGGACAGACCCAGGTGCCATGGGTTGGCTGACTGAGATGACTGGTCGATGCACCAGCTGTGCCCCCTACTGTGCCAACTTGCTGTATTTTAGCCACCCGGCGCTCCGCTCGTTGTTGTGAGCGTTGCTCATCTGCCCTCCGTTGTTGCTGGAGGGCGACTGCCTCCAATTACCCAGTAGCCTCCTTCACGAGCCTCCTCCATACCGCTCCCCACACACATGCACACGCGCACACACGTCATTCTGCGCGAACCACGATGCCGATTCAATGCACGTGGGATGGAATTTTTACTGCGGTCGTCAATCTTGATGCATTCCCTGCAATCTCCGGAGCAGCGGTACATTTAAATGTCCATTAATGCGCGCCTGCATAATGCGGGTACGCCGAGCGAGCCATGCCGATGCCCCTGGTGATTTGGCAGCACTGCGCTGAGTGTGTGTGTTGAATGCACTATATTGAGTGCGACTTGGCCAGCTCCCAATGCATTATGTATTTGGTGAATGGCATCCCATTATCAATGGATGAGTGGCCACTGTTTGATATATGAATTGTGAGTATTTCATAAGAAGAAGAAGAAGAAGAAGAAAAAGTAGTTGCTATATTTTTGGGTATTATTTTCGTCATTATTGCTGTTGTCGTATTTTTTTTGACAAGTCCATCACGCCTCGTGGGATCATTAAAATCGGCACCGCTTTGCGAGAACTGGAACGCAGGCAGGAGCGCTGCCTCGTTGCTTATCGTTTTTTTTCTTCTTCTTTAACTTAACCAAGAAAAAAAAAACTCACTGCATCCCTAGGCTTTCCTCATGTGGCGATTCGCGTGCGGAAGGAAACAAAGAGTACTTTGAGAGACCCCTTTGCGTGCCAGGTGCTCACAAACATCTTGGCAACCCGCTTGCTGTACTACCATCTCTCGGCCATGCTGTCGCCCTGCTGATTGGTCATTTCGCACCAGATGATCGCCGATGTGCGGCATTAGCCAGGCGACACCGCGGCTGCTGACTTTGATGCCACCTGCAACCCCAGTGTTCATTTAGTCGGATGTATCTCACTAGCGTTCATAGTCTAAGTTCAGCTGACACAACCTGTGGAATTTGAGTCATCTTTGTCTGTGGATTGATTTTAGTGACTCTCTTCGGCTAGTCGGCTAAAGTAATCAAACATATTTAGTCTGCTCTTGAAAACAATGAATGCGACTTTTCATGAGTAAATGTTGGGTTTTAGTCAGAGTCTCGGTCATTCACTAAGAATATTCTCAATGAACAGGCCACAGGCTTTAAAGCGCGGAACTAACTTTACAAAGTTATTTTTTGTTTCGCTGATCAGCTTCTGCAGAATTCTCCCTGTGCAGCATATAAATGTGCACTTCATTGTTTAATCACTGCTTAGCTTCCTCCAAGTGTAAATCCCTTCAGCTAGTGTTGTAGCTGCTCACGCAGCAGACAGGGAGTGACTCTCGCAACGGATCAGAGAGCTGGACCCCCCTAACTCAGAAGCTCGACAATTTGTTGCCGGCATTTGAGGTTTTTGAGAGAGATGCTGGGATTTTCGTGGCAAGGCAGGAAAAAAGCCGTGCAATCGTCTGGAAGAGAACGTGGCAGGTGAGTGCCTTAGATGTGAAGAGGCACAGAAAACCTGGTTGCTCTGGGTGGGACGCGTGTGCAGGATGGGGCAAGGTCGATTGTCGACACAGACTCGTGTAGAGATATCCACGAGTCCGGTGACCACGAGCAAGATCCAAGAAGGCCACATGGTGGGAGATGTCTAGAGCAGAATGTTGGAGGGCGCGTGTGAATTTCGTGAACGAATTCACTCTGCTTCAACCCTTTCCCGACTCTTCTCAGGACGCAGAGGCGATCTTCCAGTGGCTCAGCGACTTCCAGCTGCAGCAGTATGCGTCCAACTTCATCAGCGCCGGCTACGACGTGCCCACCATCAGCCGCATGACCCCGGAGGTCTGTGGCACCGATCGGAATACAAAGAAATGGAGAAATACCTTGAATGAGAACTTTGTTAAGTCAGCTACAGATTGAAATTAGATTCAACATTGAGTTTTTTGTGTTAGGCCACATTTGTGCGGTTAGTCAGAAGAGTCAGAAGTTTATTTGCTGAATAATGCCCATTGAGATACGAGGGCAGACCGCATCAGTGGTCAGACAAATCACGTTGTCTCGCGCACGAGCGTCTGCCGTGCCAATCACGATTGTTTCTGTTCGCCAGTAAGTTGAAGCCCAATTCTCACGAGCACATTCAGCAATTGGATTTGTAACATTCTTGCTTGAAACTACAGCAAGCATCTTGAGGACAGGTTCCAGGAAGTCAGAATAAAATCCAGGAAGTTGGAAAATATCTGTGCCACCTGAGCCAGCTTTGGAAGATGGGTGTCATGACTATGGCGGGTGGTGGAGACTGCTGGAGGGTTTTAACGACACAGATTTGGCCAGATCATTGCTTAGGACTCACTCAAAAATCAATCATCAATCTGGATGATGACAATATAGGGGTTAAATTTGAAATTGGGTATGATGTATAGTTTTAAAGCACTCTCATTCATTTTGCCCGAGTATCGAGTCAAATTGTCCATGACAGCTTTACTGGGATGGGTTCGGCGTTCTATGTAAGAGAGACGTAATATTGCTCACTGTGCAATGAGCACCGACTTCCACATGTGAGAATTATTTCCCCTTGCTACGCTGCATAGGAACGCCGAGGCACATAGAACATTGCAAGGGCTGAACTTGCGGCGTTGATCGTTTGAATGTATATTAGTTGAGTGATTACAGCCGCTGGGATATGTTGTGGTCTTGCGCAACAGGACCTCACCGCTATCGGAGTCACCAAGCCCGGCCATCGGAAGAAAATCTCCGTCGAGATCGGCAAGCTGAGCATCCCGGAGTGGCTGCCAGACTACAAGCCGGTGAGTGTGTGGCTTCGCACACAACCGACGCTGGGCTACGCGAAGACACAGCGCAACGTACAGCACGGACAGGTGCCCTTTGAGTTTGCATGCGTGTACGTTGATCTCCCTTTGGCGCCGTACGCGCAGCCGACCGTGCTGTATCGATGTGCGGCCGGTGACGCGGGCGCCCTAGTCGTAGCGCGCCGCTCGTCGCTAGAGGCGCGCGGTTCAAATCCGCCGGGCCTGCCCTGGTTGTTGCCGCGGCTGTGTCGTTGAATCATTTCTTTGTTCATGCCTTTTTTTCATTTTGCGAAGTGCCTCAATTAAAGGCGCTCTGTGTATACAGTGGTCCCTCGTTTATCGCGGGGGATAAGGTCTAAAAATAACCCGCAATAGACGAAATCCGCGAAGTAATCAGCTTTATTTTTTTACAATTATTATACGTGTTTTAAGGCCGTGAAACCCCTAACCACACACTTTTATACACTTTTCTCAGACAGGCATTAACATTTTCTCACATTTCTCTCTTATTTAAACACTCTCAAAGTTCAAACTTTCGCAGATTTAAAAAAATAAGTACAATATTAGTAAATGAAACCAAAGATCAAAACCTGTTTTCAAGCCCAAACATTTTTATAAATCTGGCTAGCCGAACGCATTCTGTACTCCCTTAGCTAATCAGGACGCAGAACACACGTGCGGTTCTCCCTTAGCCAATCAGGACGACGAACACAATGCGCGTTCATACTGTACGCAGGGAAAAAAAGCATGCAAAATTACACTAAAAAAAATCCGCGAAAGGTGAACCGCGTTATAGTGAGGGACAACTGTATATAAAAAAAAGAGATGAGACGTTCACCGCCCTCCTTGCGGTGAACGCCAAAGATCCGCTGGCGTCACTCGGAGCGAGTGACGTTCACCGCCCTCCTCGAAATACTGCGCTCATTCTCGTGGTGGGGGGCAGGGGGGGGTGGTGAATTTTCTTATCAAATCCCCCGTTATTCAATGAACGGCACTACATTTATCCAAGTCACAGCCTTTAATGTTATTTCTAATGCCTTTCCGATAAAAAAAAAATCTATACCATTTTTGAATATTTAAAATAAAAAAATACTTTCCTTGCTTTGCCAGCACCGAAGAAGACCGCAGGCCGATTTGGGAATGTGCAATAACAGTGATACCACTACAGTGGCCATTGTAGAGTAGTACAGTAACCAAAGTGGGGCTCCCTGCTTCGTGACGTGTCTGTGCAGCGTGGAGACGCAACTCGCAAAAGAGGTCAGCGAGCCTCAGCGGTTCCATCTCTGAGCCTCTGGAGCGCGAGTTTCCACTTTTGTAGGGTCCTCCCCACCACCCCCTCCTCCCCCCCCAAAAAACAAAACCAAAAGAGATCTGTCATACGCTGAGCATCGTTTCTCCACCAACGTTATTTCAAGGACTCACGCTATTGGACACATACCGAAAGCAATGCTCGCGAAGATCAAATGATAACGAATGTCTCATTTTCCGCTCTACCCTCTGTATTATTTGGGGGTCAGTTTAAATTGGCACCAGCGAGGCGATGTCACGGGCTCCGTTTGATTTGGCCTCTCACTGTTCACACGGCGGCTCCTGTGTGTGTCATCACGTGAGACTAATCGTGTGACTCATTAAACCCGCACGACCCTTCACCGTGCGGGTCGTGCGGGTTGTTTGGGCCAGACCTTCGCCAGACTGGTCAGTGCGGGTTGGTGAATGCGAGCAGCAGAGACAAGGAAGCACTGCCCCCTGCTGCCCCCGACACGGTAAAAAAAAAAATAATGACTTAGAGGTCATGCGCAACAGCGTCCAATAGCGCAGTCACAATCACGCCGGCTGGGGTGACCTCACCTCCTTCAATGGATTGGAAACCTGTAGCGATAGCACTGTTTCCTGGACGATGCATGCTAAGATGCGATGAGTGCCGCAATTTTGAACGTTTTTTTTTGTATTTCGTACGCATGGATTTCAACTCCTGCATTGCCATGGGTGGACGTTGTCCGTGCTCATTCATTGCGCACCTTCCTCTGCTAGTCAATTGACAAGAGGGCAGAACACTATCATTACTGTTGAATCTAAGATGTGAATTATTACCGCGTCCCATTACTTCACAGTTTGGAGGGCGGCGCTTCTTGGCATCGAAATGTGAAAATGTCCTCGTCTCTCTCTCTCTGGCCCGCTAACAGTGGCGGCCACCATCCCACGCTCATCATTTGAGCGGGGCGCAACACTTTACATAGAGGCTTTCTTCTTCTTGTGTGTTCAGTCTGATGATTCAGTGACGAGAGCACAACTTTGCGTGCAGGCCACTCTGAACACAACCCACACAAACGTTCACTAAGGGCGCTCCGATAACCAAAAGGACCCCGCTTTTTCAGAAGCGCATTTCATTTAATTCGACGCGAGCGAACCCGGGACCGGGTGAATGAAAGAATCCATTGCATTGTTTCGCAAGCTGCGGGGACGCTCACTGAGATACAATATCTCCGTCGCACCCGGAGCCCTGGCAGACAGCCAAGATGCCGCACTCACTGCTGCATTGAGTGAGGCGCTCAGGCATGATGCTCCAGCCCAGGGGGGGGGGAGGAAAAGCGATGGATGAAACCGATGACGTGATGGCGGCCGTGAGAAAAGTAACCCGCGACGAGATACCTCGAAGCGCAGATGGGGTGGTGCTGACACCAGCGAGTTGAGTGTTCGCGATTGGGTGGTGCTTAATGCATGCGGCACACTATGGGGGCATGGTTTGTAATGCTCATACTAACGCCTTTGTTCAATCCAGAAAAAAAGAACCCTCAGTGATGCTCGAGTGTGTGCGTGTGTTTCAGTAGGTTCTTGCACTGGGATTCTTGGCCAATTCCGTTAATGAGTGGGGGAGAAAACCAGAGTACCCAGACAAGGGGCCGTTATTAACTCAAAGCTCAGATCTATAGACTTTATTGCTGTACTGCCATCAAATGGTCAACTTGCAGCATGGGTTTACAGCATACAGGAATCCCAAAGCAGCTTCACCTTCCAAAGGTGGAGTAAGGTCCCGGATGAACTTTCCTGAGCTTCTGAGATCCAACCACTGTTGAGATCAGATGAATTGAGAGGTCATAGGCATAGTGTTATTAGAAAAAAATGCGTTTAGGGTTATCTGGGTCTTTCGGTAAAGTCACATAGATAGGTTCAAATAAAATAACAAGCCCCCTTTTCCTGATGACGACCGCTTGTGTTGCGATCGAAACGTCGTAGTTTTTTGTCATTTTCTTTGAACCTATCTACGTGACTTTACCGAAAGATCCAAAGAATATGAATTCCTGCAGTTACGAAAGCTTTAAGTCAAGATTCATGCGTTTAGGGTATTTGACTGTTGTAAATGCCCACGTGATGAGCCACTTCGTTGAGATACCATTTGTGGCCAGGTGGCTTCTGAAAAAGAGCTACATAACTCAGTGGGCCTTACCTGGTAAAAAATATGCATTAAGAAGCATTTTTCTGCCAGTGGTGTGAGATTGATTGACTTTTACTTTTTTATTTTATTTCAAGTCGGGGAGAGTCCATTGAGATGCAGAAATGCTCATGATCAGGCACTAGAGCACACGTAAATAAAATGCACAATCATCACGCAACGATTTTGGAAAACTAATTTCTTCAGGAATGCGTTGTGTGTTTTATTTTGTTGGCCTTCCCCCGCACCTCTGATTAGCACGGTTGGCTACGTACGGTGCGAAAGAAGTTTAAATACCACGTACTCTGGATGTCACTTCAGCCTGTGATCCCTCTAGGGTCGACTAAACGAGTACCACATTGGGACGTGGAAGCTCCAGCGGCAGCTTGAGGGCCGCCGACAGACGCGGGTATCGCCCCACGCTGCTTTGAGCCGGGAATCGAGACACTTTGACCTCTGAATTTCTGACTCTCCGTGCCACATTAGACCTGCGCAAGTGAAACCATTTGGCGGGGCGTTTGATTGCGTTGCCATGAGGCCATCGGGGGGGCCAGGCGGTGGACCTGTCCTCTGCAACAAAATCCAAATTCATCATCTCTGGGTGTGCACTGTGGAGCGTGGAGGCAGGAGGCCCGGGCATGGCCGGAGGCTGGGGGGGGTGGGGTTATTGCCGAGCTCTTGGGAGTCGAGGCGTTCATTTATTTATTGGGCCAGCTGTGGTCGGCGCCCAGAACACGCGCACAGGGGTCCCTTCTGCTTGATGGCTGCAGGAGACCATCACCACGAGGCGTTGGCGCGTGTGTGCGCGCGCGCGTGTGTGCGCGTGTGTGCGCGTGTGTGTGCGTGTGTGTGCGCGCGTGCGTGCATATTTACGTTGAACTCTTTTTTTGCGCCATACGTAGCCAGCCGTGCTGATCGGAGGTGCAGGGGGAAGGACAACGAACTAAACACACAAAGCAGCTCGCGGCGTGCGCTCGTACATGGCGTGCGTGCGTTCGTGCATGGCGTGCACGCTATTTGATGCATCGTGCTCCGTGGGCACAGGCTTTCGATGAAAGGGACCTGGGATCGCACCGCAACAGTCCCAGCCACCTGGCTTCTTCAATTCCCAGTCAGGCTCGTCAGAGAATAATGGCCTCTGAATCTGTTCCAGGCCTCCCCTAGGTTGGTTCAGCATTAAATGACTACCTGGCGTAGTGCGATTTAACGTGTAGTGAGATGAGTGGCTGAGCGTTTGGGTCTGGCCACACCACCCCCTCGAGTGCCAGCCTTAATAGGTGCTTGCGAATAGTATTGACCTCAACAGTCTATACAAAACAAAAAACTTCTGTCTGACTCATGTAACCATTGCACAATGACAGGTAGGATATCATCATCGTCGTCGTAAGTTTATGTCATGGTTTACCTCCCACGCCACAGCGATTTAATTAAGTCACATTATTACGGATTAACATTGATTCAATGGTCAATTATTTTCCGTCTTATATTTGCTTTACCGTTAGTCTAATTTGGATCGATTTTCATTCTGTCACTTGAACAGTATTGGTCACTCAATAAACCCCAAATG